TTTCAACATAACTTTTAATTTACCAGCTGCTCTATGTTGATTGTTGGAATATTTGTTTACACAATGTAGAGAAAGTAAAGAAAAATCTATAAAATTGTACATAGAACGTATAACATGTTAAGAAGGAAGCTACTTGAAAATGAATTGGCAGCGAGTTGAAAATACGTGAGCGCGTGCGAGTATATTGTCAAAAGCTCCTTGTTTATACAAAACATATATATCTCGTGACCTGCGTGGGTTCGACTTTCTTATCATCTTTCTTGACTTATGATGCGAATTTCTTTTGAAATTACGTGCCCCTTTTGTCGCGCCCGCCTGCGCTTTTAAAACGTGTTTCAATTTCGACACGCGAAAACGAGTTTATACCGAATGAGGATTTGCATGCGCGATATATATCCGCAAGCAAAGTACACATAAAATCTCTTAAAAAATGAGCATGCGAGGCTTTAACGATATGCAGTCGCGAGTCAACGAAGCGCATTCAATTATTTCGACGGTAAAAATAAAAGGATCAATTTCGAGTCACGGAACATTAATTTCATATAATGTACATATACACACATACACACACACACACAGACGGCGATACGCAATATGGCAAATCCTTCCTCAAGGATGTGTGTAGCCTCATTGTTTCCTGAATATGCATATTGCGATACGAAGAAAGAGGCCCCCCTCTCAAAATTTCACTCCGTGTGCCTGTGAATTTATGGACTCTCTCGCATTATCATTCGGATCACTGATGTCCGTTTGAAAGGAAAAAATAAGAATTAATTTCAATGAATCTGTATACGATACGACCAGAAGCAATGCATAAAGCAATTAAAATATTATATAAATACGCACGTGGATGTAAACGTCTTCCTGCCACTCGCGATCGAAGCGATTCCACTTATTCGCCGAAAAAACCATATCGAGAGTAATTATCCGCACCTAAAGAAAAAAAAGGAATCGTATATAATAATAATAATTTTTTTTGCTCGCCCACGGAACCGTTAAAATTCTTATACGCTTGCTTTTTATCGCGGATTGTGTCAAAGTAGACCGAGAACAGATAGACCGATTTTTTGCCGATTCCGCACATTTCTCACGGAATGTTGCTTAGATGTGTATGTGTGTAGTGTAGTGCAGTGTGTACGCGCGAATAAAAGATCGCGCGCCGGGGAAACAACCCGAGCGAGCCATTCTACTTATCCAGTTGCCTTTTTTTGTTTTACAGTTTGTTCAGTACAATTAAGGAATTTCTGGTATCTATAGATATAAATTGCCGCGCGGATTATGTATTACGCTACATACCTTAACACTGGAATCGGAAGTGTAATGAAGACAGACATTTATTTACGCGCTTGGAAAGTGTGCACGACACTATACTATTACAACGACGACGACGAAGTTGGCGTACGGGTGATTTGCCACTATTTTCTTATTCATCAACACCTCTCCCTACGAGGAAATCAATTACAGTCGCGCGCGCGTGTATGAGAGCTATTCCAGAAAAATAAAGAAAAAGAAAAAAAAAAATTACTCAAAGGCAACAACCTCGTCTCTCTCGGTTATTACGTATACTCGTCCCGAGTCCCGAAGCTCGTTGTACACGCGGCACGTAGCAGCAACAACAACTACACACAATACAAAAGATCATCATTCCCCGGCTCAGTGGAGCGTCTCGCGTTCTCTGCATACATATATATATCTGCAACGGCGCACGTTATACTTAGACATTCCTATAGGGTTGCGTTAGCTTCGAGAAATAACCGGCAATTAAAAGGTTCGTGTAGCTCTATATACACACGTATGGCTGCGCGTGCAACTTAACAGCCCTTTGGCGCGAGTCCCTTATATTTTACTATTTTAATGCCGCGCGCGCGCGCTAGACCAGCTACGCGCATACATAATGCATGTGTACAATATTAAGATGAACGCGAGCGAGCGAGCGAACGTAGCCATTGAAAAAGCTACCCATTATTTCATCCGCCGCGTCCCAAGTTTCATTTTTCAGTACTTAAGTTGTTAAAAGTGTTAAAAGTCCGTCGTTAATTGCTAAAACGGTATATGCAATTTTGAGCGCGCGTCCGCGTGCCGCGGCTCCGAGACGCATTGTTCGCGCCGCGATCTATGGGCAAGAATATTATTGCCTCATGCACAATTTTACGCAATATATATATATGCCCGGCGCTCGACGTTTGGAATTATGATCAATGCTCGCTCGCGCCTCTCTCGAGAGTAAGTATGTATACGCGAGCACGAGCTGTTGCACCTCGAAACGTTTTTACTTTTCTTCGTTGCGTCGCGGCTATATGGTTTTTCCTTTCGAATTTTTGCGTTATAGCTGCAAGTATGGCCGATTCGTGCAAATATGATAAGCTCGCGCGTGGCAAGTATTTTTGAAGTAATTACAACCATCAATCCGTTTAATCAACTCTCTTTCTTTCTCTCTTCTTTACTTTATCCTGGCAAGTATTTAATTTGTGAGCCGCACAATTAGAAGTGGGGCATTACGTGCATCCCACTTGACTTCCTGCGCACAACAAATGCTGCATACGTACTATAGCGCCGACGTCGTAAATATCGTAATAACTCCCTTTACCGGAGAGAAGTGAAAAATGATCGTCTACACACGCGGCTCGTTTTCGCGTGCAAATTTATTAATACCAACGAACGAAAGTTTACGCACTCGCGCTTATACAGCTTGAAGATGCGAGTAATATAAAGTAATATTTACTCGGGATTATCAACTGCTCTTTAACATGGAAGAGGTGTGTGCACTTCAGGAATAATCTTAACGAAGGATAATGAAAAAAAAAGGTAAGAAGTAACGAAGGCGCGAAACTTGATGAGAATTCCGTGCTCCGTATGAAAGGCCGCCGCGGCTACGGAGGCTATTATAAATGTATCATTACAATTTTATTCGTTCGGTGTGTATATTAAGCGTCGTTGCTTTGCCTCTGCAGAGCAAGAGAGCTGCGCGCCATGAAATCGTTAATTAACATCGCTTTACGGTGTGGTCGTGCTGCAGCGCGCGATCTATATATATATTGTTACATTTAAAACCGCAAGCTCGGAGCGTACACGGAGGTGTGTGTGAGTGTGTACTTAATATGAATCGATCGAAAAATATAAGAGAGAATTGTATACGTTTCGGTTACGTACGCGTGTGTATGTATAAATTATCGATTAGAATCGCCGAGTTAAAGAGCAACTGGGAAAAAAAGAGAGAGAAAGAAAAGCAAAGAATGAAAAGTTCGACGCACCGTCCGTGCAAGTCGTTGACGTTCCAAAGCTCGTTAGGTCCGCGTCTATAAGGTTCGATTTGCACACACATGCACACAGCTGTATATATATGCGTTTGTAACGCACGTGTGCGTGTGCACATGCACAGAAGCAGCAGCAGTAGCAGCGGACCGACGTTAATCCCAACGACACGCGTCGATAGCTATTACGCTGCGTAATCTGCTTAATTTAATTATGACTCTTTGTGTCTATGTGTGCGCGAGTGTGTACGCAAGTGCACCACACGCGATTGCCGGGAGAGAATCGAGACCATTGTCATCGCGTACAAATGCCTAATTAAAATCAGAAAAACTGCCGCGAACGTTGAAATTTTACAATATGACCGATCGATAAAAGCGAAAGTATAATACATTTTCGCAACCGCACAACATTAGAAAGTTCTGTCCCTTTCATGCGCGAGCTTCGCGGCTGTTGTGCGCGAGGAAAAAAAAGTCGAGGCGCGTCGAAATATAATAATTCATCTCGCGCGTCGATTAATTTTCGTCAAGAGCCCGAATCGCAGACAGAACGTTGTACAGTGCCTCGAGTGTTTGGTTGAGTTTTCCACGGCGCTGCGCGCGAGACTAGGATAAATTGTACGGACATTTTTTCTACGCCTACTGGGTGCCAATTTGCTCTCTCTCTCTCTCTCTCTCTCGTGCGCGCGAGATAAAACCGATTCGTCTTAAAGAGGACAAAATCGAATCGCTCGCAGTCGAACCGCCGCGGATATCGCAAGAAATACACATTGTATATCCGAGTGCAAGAAGCCCAGTAGCGCGTGCATTTATCGAGTCATTCAGGATATATATAATCCAAGTGTAACTAATAAGATATCGGCAGCAAAAAAAAAAAAAGAAGAAAAATGAAAGAACTGGGGGACAAAAAAATCTGCCAAGTGCTCGGTGTCCGCTGCAACTGGTTCGTGTCCTCGATCGCGTTGTATCAATTCGAGAGAGTGACCGATTTCTAAGAGCGATATATAAATCGTTTTTACCAACAATAATGATATCGACACTGTATAAGAGCTGTTCCGACAAATTAGACCTACACACTGAGCAAAACAAAAAAAGAGATATGATATTGTGTTTCTCGAAGCGGTGTACACGCGTATCGATTTAAAGTTTCGCGACGACGCATCAACACCTCGTCAAGTAGCCTACAGTACGTAACGTATTACATCGCACAGGGAGATCAAAAAGCACATTACGCTCTGGTAATTACGATAATGTATTCGACGGTATAGCTCGAGATAGCCAGATGAATGGCTCCTTTGTATCCTTATTAAGAAAAGTAGCACCCGACGATCGGCCGCGCGGCCGCCAATCACACCGAAGTGCCCGGCTGTATCACACACACGCGCACAAATGAACAGCAGCCATGTGTATACGAGCATTAGTGTCAGAGATCGAGAGCGCAATGCACTTACGGTCGCGCCCACACGCCTGCCGCATTAAATTTCCGAGGAGCTGCTGCTGCTGCCTCTGTGGCGCGCCCCGCTGCCTTCTATATATATGCGACGACGATATACCTATAAGTCACGAGGGCTTCCGTGCTGTATAATTTCATGCATATAGGAACATTTTTTCGCACTATGGACGAAGCTCGCAGTCGTTGATTGCGATCGCCAAACGAGTTACGCTGTATCGTTTATAAATGCCGACACGATCGATTACATCGATCCCTCCTCGAATCCGTCGATTTGACTCGTTTTGCTTCTTACTCAACAGGCGGAAAGAGACAGACTGGAGGAGACGCGGGAGCAGCTCGAGCGCCGGCTCGAGGGCTGCGAGGCCGAGCTCAAAGACAAGGAGGAGGAGCTGTTCTCGCAGCTGGAGCGCAGCCTGAGACTCGAGGACGAGGCGGAGCGCGCCCGGGCGGAGCGCGAGGCCTGCCAGGCCAGACGAGAGCGGCTGGAGCGCGAGCAGGCGGCGACGCTGCGACAGCTGCAGCTGCAGGCCGCCGAGAACGAGATCACCCGGAGATCGCTGGAACGAGCTCGCCAGGAGGTCATCAAGCAGGCCACGGCCATCAGGCTCGAGAAGGACGCTCTCGAACAAGAGGTATTCGAATTCACTCATTTTTTTTTTTTTTTTACATAACTATACTCTTCGGTAGCCTGTACACGAGCGTTTGTATCGGTATTATACCTTTGATACGAGCCGTCCATTTATAAATAAATATCAATTGATCCACGTGTATGCCACGCCGAGCCGCGTAATAAGACGCGTGCATGCATTAAGCTCGAGTCGTTCGCCGCGTTATCTCGCGCCGATTGATGCTAAAACTCGCGTGACGGGATTCGCTTCGGTTCGTATTATAGCGGCGTTGATATGCTAGACCTGAATCGGCGAGCCACTGGAGAACGATGCCAATTAGAGATTACGCACTGTTCCTCCTCTTTTTTTTTTACATCTTCAATTTCTGCACTAATAATGCGAGAGACCTGCCGCGCGACCATAACTAAATACTCGTTTTTGATGAGCGCTTCGACGGAAGCAAGCCTAAGTACAAGACGATCATACGCGTGAGTAATTTTTTTGCACTGAATTTTGCAAGATTAATATTAAATTGACAGCAATGAAGAATTAGATTATTTCGCGATGAATGAACTAAGATGGCTTTGAAGAAATTTACCTCCTACGTAGAAATCTTGAGAAAATATAAAAATAAGTCAATATCTCGTGCCCTTGTCTCGTATTTCAATTGCAAATCGTAACAATTTTTCAAAGCATCGAGGACGCCTCGAACGTATTACCAAATAGAACACAATATTATTATTCAGAACGGACGATATAATATCGTGCCGCAACTTAAACTTTACGTAATCCTCGCCGCGCGCACAGCTCGTAAAAATCCGTTTCAAACGTGGCTCGAAACAGTAATAATGCATCTGCGTTGTCTTTTTTTTTCAACACAGAACGAGGCGCTGAAGAACAAACTGCGCGCCGAGCAGGACGAGCTCGGGGCCGAGCGCCGTCGCAACGAGGAGGGCGTAGCCGCGCTGGCCCACGAGGCCAACTCGCTGAGGCACGCGGCGCGACACCTGCGAGCCGCGGCGCTGCACGCGACCAATTGCCGGCGAAGACGCAGGTGCTCCGTGTGCGCCTACGCGCGCCGCACCTTCCAGGACGTCGACGACTTTCGCGAGGAGTAAGTTTTTTTTCCCCGTTCCTCCTTTCGTCTGTTCTGTCGGGTCGAATGAAAGGATGAGATTGATTCTTGGCTTCTTTTGCAGCGGCAAGCTGTTCAAATGCCTGCAAGCTCCGCTTCAAGATCTGCGCACGTGGCTGCGTCCGAGCTCGCCGTCCTCGACGATCGGCATCGTCGGCGCCGCCAGTCCCGCGTCCTCGGACGCTCTGCGCACGAGTTCGCCCCTGGATCGCGGCATGAGCTTCATCGACGACGAGGCTACCAGTATTTCCGACGACGAGGTCTACTCCAACGAGGTGGTCAACAACGAGGCGTCGTTGTCGTCCACCGTGTCCAGCGCCCCGCCGGCCGTTCGAGCCTTCTCATCAGATTCTGGGTAAGCGTAACAAACTCTTTCACAAATCCATATATCTTTCCTTGCTCCAGCTTGGGGGCTGACGATTATTAATTTGTCTCTTATCGCAGATTCTCATCGGAGACGGGCGATCGGCGATCTCGCTCTTACGAGTGCGGCGGCAGCAGTCGCAAAATCAGCGAGTCGTCGGTCAGCGAGGCCGGCGACGTGGCCGCCACCGCCAACGGCGCACTGGCGAGGCCCGGCAGCAACTTCACGCGCTCCCGGTGGACGTCGTCGTTTCGCAAGCTCCTGGGTCGTAAATCAAAAGCGCCTAAGCAGTCGCACGAGACTGACGAGGCTTGAATCTTCTTCTTCTTCTTCGTTCTTGTTCGTGAATTTTCGTTTATTTGGTACGAGGTTGACGTATTTTCAGATGACTCGTATAAAGAGATTCGTGTAAATTATTTTTAACAATCGAGAGGCAGTCGACGCGAGTTGTGTCTCGTTTATTTTGTTACTTTGCAGCGTTTCGCGTCTCCCTTAGATTTATTGTTGCCTCGACAAAATCGTTCAAAGTTTACTTAAATTATTAGCGGTGTATCGTGCATAAGTATGTCAATCATTGTTTTTTTTTTCGTCATTTATCCAACTGCTAAAATACTGATTTTTTATTAATTTAGAAAAATTCTTCCAAGCTTTTATTCTTAGAGACCGTGTTTGCTTACTTTTATATTTTCAAAGATGCTTTGAAAAGGGCAAAGCTGCACATTCAGTATTCATTATTTTAGTAAAGAGTAAATATTCAATTACATTTGTCAAAAACATTATCGAGACTGATTTTATTGTTACTTGATGCCACCGGTTAAACTATCCTAAACATCGATTTACCCAAAAATTTAAAAACCAAGGGTGAAGATTATTATATGATAATTTGTAAATAATGCCTATGTAATTCAATATTTAATCGAATTTTAGAGCTTAGAATAATGTTTATATTTGTACCTCGTACCAAGTTACTCTTCTAATCAATGATGACATCTTAGAAGTTTAAAACAAATTCATTCTGAAAAATTGTTACTCTTCGTTTATCTGAATTGATATAAGTATCAACTTGATTTTTGATTTAATTCAATTTCGTAAAGTAAAAGAAACTTTCAATTTTTTGGTTTGAAACAACTGTGATAACAAAAGAGATTGTTGTGCCGAAGAAAAAATAATCAACAGGACACGTGAATGAGTCCTTCATGTGATGACAATTGCAATGTTTCCTATTGTAATTGTTTATTTGATTTCTAAAGGAATGGGATGTCCATATGACATGCCGCATTCATTTTGAAAGAAAAATGCCAAACAAAATATTCGTCCGATGTGTGAGTAAATGAGCATGGGTTCCAAAAATGTATTATGATCAAACTTATTATTTTTGTATATTTTCTTATTATTTTTCCACGGCATTTCTTTTGCTACTGTTGCTCAATAAACTTCGCAGAGTCATGATTTTTCTTGTAACATGACCATTTGTATTATAGATTTTTCTGCTATTAACTTAATTATAGATAAAACTGCCAGATTAGAAAAAAAAATTTAAAGAACACTTCAAAAAGTTCTATTATCTAAGATCATCACAAGAATCACTTGTAATATTAGAGTTATAAATTCAGTAAGAAAAAATGATTTGGAACAAAATTATATTGAATGTCTTTTGGTAGATTGTAAGAAGACTGTTGAATTCAAACTTGTTATAGTACTTAATTACATTATGACTTTAAGTACGTGTTTATATGTAAATGTTTATTTAAATGTACTATGTATATTGTTATAAAAAATTCGTTTTGTGTTCTTGAAATTATCCTGAAAAAATCTAATCAGCATCTTATGCAAAATTTGCTTAATTTGTTAGTATGTGAAAAAGATGTATTCGTTATGAAATTGTACATGAGCTTTTCCAGCTACTTGGAATGTAGCTCCTTGATTCCAATTTATGTAGAATTTTATAATCAGAGTGAATCTGTATTAATGAAACGTACATGCCTTGAACAGCAAAGATTCTCATTTTTTATTAAACGTCAGTTTCTGATTCGTGCCTTAGTGTTGTCACTCATAAAAGTATGAATTTAAGTAAAAACATCTTTAAAATGATATCAATTACTCTTACGAATTAGTATAAGTATCAATGATGTAAAGATGCTTTTCTTGTCAATACAGTTAAGAATTTGTGTATGAATTGAATTTTATAAATGTTACCGATTGAGTTGTTTACACAATCTATGCATCTTCAAATCTGTATAAATAATGAATTGTTTATATAAAATGAAATAGAAGTATTTCAGAACGCTACTTCAGTAACCTAATTAATATTTGAATCTATTTGTGTTGGTAATTTAGCAATTTGTACATCATGCTTCAAATTTGAGCCTTCGTTGAAATAATGAACTATAAACTAAAAACTTGAGTCAAGATGTAAAAACTTTGTTAAAGTATCATAATCTTGTTTGATTGATTCTTTGCTGTTTATGCCAGAGTATAAGTTCAAACGAATGATCGAAACGACTTTTTGAATAGAATGCACAAGAGATTGAAGAATGATATAAGCTCATAGAGAATATTTACTCACTTGTGAGAAAATAAATTTTGTAGATTAAATATTAATGTAACTTTTTAATAGATTGAATGTTGAAAGAAAAATTTTCAAAGCTTTATGATATTCCTCAATTGAAACTAATATTTTTGGGAATCCACGAAGTATATGTAAGTGATTTAAATGTAAGGATAATTGTAACAATGACATTTCATTTTTAAAGTAACAGTTCATCTTTTTTTATTTTTAAAATCATTCATCACGAGAATATAAGCTCTATTTCTTATTGTGACATATTTTTTATGTGTGAATGAAAAAAGAGACCGAAATGTTTATGAATAAACTTGTGTCCGCGAATTAAGGAACAATAATGGAAAAACAAGCCACATCTCTACCTCCTCGTTCTAGAACGAGGACGATAAAGAGGATAGTTGCTGATATTGTTTTGTATTCAATGAATTTTACAAAAATTGATGATTCAAGCTAAAGAATGTAGAAAACTGAACTTTTTATTCGAAATGTTAAGCTTAATATTATTATTTTTAGGCAACTTCTTTACAGTGACTTTCATTGAAAAATAGCATTGATTTATTTTATTGTTAAATTCGTTTTCTGCTTTTAAAATAGCTAATGATCTTCGATATTTGTAACAGATTGAAGCAAGAACTGTCATAAATATATCTATAATTTGCGTAAAAATCATTCAAATTAATTGAATATATAATCAATGTTGCTATTATCTAAATAGTGGATGTTACTGTGTATGTTTCGAAATGTGTTATTGATAATGTGATGGTGAGAATGTATGAAGAGACTTGAGGTATTCCTATACAAATATAATATTGTAATAAATTAAATTATATACAATAATACTTAAACTATTTTTATTTATTTTTCTTCATTAACCTTCACAACCCTTGCACTTTTGGTAACTTGAAATTTATTTTCACTTTTTTAATTATCCGACGAAAATTCGTGTGTTTGCATGTAATTACCTACATTTCCTGACTCATATATTTTGAGATCGATGCTAATAAAAAATTAAAAATATCAAAGATTTGGAAAAATTTATAAGCACAAATAGGCCTATGGATTTTTTAACCAGACCAACGTATTAAATTTTTAAATTAAAAAGTGATATTGTTTTTTCAAGTTTGTTTCAACAGAATCCATAGATCATCACGAGTGATTATGCCATAAACCAGCGTCAAAAAAGTTAATTTCAATTACGGTGTATGGAAATGGAGCGTTGAATTTTGAAAATAATAATAAAAATATTTAATTAAATTAGAAAAAATTGCTTATTTTTTTACAATATATACATACACTTATGTACAAAACTACGACTAAGGCTTATATATTAAATAGTGAACATGCTTGACATTTAATGCTTTTCAAAGTACTTCTGTAGATCTTCTTTAAGTACTTCTTCGAATACGCGTACAGCTTCTGCGGCATTCTTTTCGATCGTCTCATCCTCGTCCTCGAGAAGTTCAGCAAGGAACGGCACTGTTTCTGGCAATAGTGGCAAGAAGTCCTCCTCAAGCTTTTTAAGAATTTCAACCTGTTAAAGAAAAAAAAGTAACATTAATTTCGAATTCGGTTTTAATGGAAAATAATATACTTGAAAAACAAATAAAAAAAAAAACAACGACACTTACCATAGCATTGAGAGCTGTGTTGCGAACCAATGGATTAGTATTTCTAGTCTTGAGCAAAATCTGGTAGGTGAGCTGCTTGTGCAGAGAGTCGTCAGGTGTGGCATTGGCAAAGGCGGCGATACACGGCACCAAGTACTCCTTCATGCGGGCCTCGTACTGCTCTCGGCTGCCGAGGGTGTTCTCGATCTGGTCGACGATCGGCTGCATGAGTATGTCGAATCGCTCCTGGTTGACGAAGTCGTGGCCGTCGTAGGTGAACACACGGCGCAAAGTCAGCAGTATTTCCTGTATGAGCTCCATTTGGCTGGCCTCGTCGTCCAGGGTGGCCTCGCTCTTTTCCTCGCTGCTGGTCAGCACATTGTTGGCCGTGAGCAAGTTAGACACGTGCTTGACAATGGCGCCGGCGAACAGGACGAAGAGAGACTTGAGGGACTCGGCGATGTTGGCCGACAATCTGTAGAAAGTGATGTTTCTCTGCTTGAATTGAGGATTCCTGGCGGCCCAATCGTAGAGTCTGTAGTACAAGGGACGGAAGGTGGCCTCGCTCAGTTTCAGCACCAGAGCGACGACGGCTTGGCTGGCGCTTTTCTCGACGCAAGTGACGTCGGCGAGCGTCACCTCACCGTCGACATCCATGTCACTGTCGTTGACCGTTACCTCCTCGCGGAATTGCAGCACCTTGAGGAAGAAGTTGGTTAGGTCGGGGACCGCGTGGGAGAGCTCGGTATTTTTCACGGAGCCGAAGGACTCGGCCAAGATCGTCATCAAAGCTGGCACGTGCTGGTAATTCTTGGCTTCGAGCATTTTGTTGTAAGTTTTTTCGGCAGCTGGCAGCAGGACTCTCAGAGGAGTGGAGCTGGAGAGCTTTTGAGTGGTGGCTCGCAGTCGGGTGATGAGCATGGCGCTCTTGGCGTGCTCGCTCCGGGCATAGAAGTTGCTGAGCTTCGACAGGCCCGACAGCAACTGGTCCAGATACATGGACAAAAAGTTGCCGATCGACTCGACGATCTTCTGCAGGGCGTAGACCAAATTGACGGTCGTGGCGTCGGGTACCTCTACGTGCGGGTACGCGTTCAGAAGTTTGATGAGAGCCGGCATGAATTTGTTGAGAGCCTGAATGGCGTGGACGCGCATGGAACTGCAGAGCTCGGCGAGGCAGAGTACCGCGCTGGCGCGCACACCGCCCTCGCGCTTTTTCACGAGGTTCGTCGTTAACTCCAGGACCGATTTGAAGTCTTCCGGATGTTTGCCAGCCAAGAGTTTGGCCAACAGCTTCAGCGAGATCAAAGCCGTCTGCTGAATGTGCTCCATTTCGGGGCTCGGGGATTTCTGATTTTCCTCGAAGACGGCTTTGATGGGCTGCATGAGGTACACCAAGCTGTCGTAATCGTCCTCGTTGAATTTCTTCTGGACCAATCGAGCGTTGAGAAGGTCGAAGATCTTGTGCTTGACCACGAGCGACTCGTGATTGATCAAACTGGCAATGCTGGTGGTGAACATGTCGTTGGGCAGCAAGTAGTTCACTTGGTCGAGCACGTCGTAGAAGCCGTTGAGCAGTACCTTCCAGTACTTGCCGTTGGGCTTGTCGCGATTCAAGTGAGCGTGCTTGGACGTCGTCTTGATGCAAATGACCAGCTCGACGATGATGTCGTCGTAGTAGGGATTCAGCTGGAGCATCTCCTCCTCGGGCAGTTCGGCGATGCGATTGACGAACTCGGTGTTGGACAGCAGCTTGGCCAAGAACTGGACCAGCGTGTACTTGTAGTGGCGCAGCTGTTTGGCCGTGGTGTTCTTCATGTCGATGATGTGCTTGACCGCTGCGTTGCACTTGCTCTTGTCCTTGTCGTCGACCTCGGCCGGTAGCTTGGTCGCGAACTGCATCAGTTTCACGGCAACGTCCATGATCTTGTCAACGGGAAATTTGTGCGATATCGTCAGGGCAAAGTCCATCCTCTCCGAGTCCGGCTCGGAGGTCGACGACTGCGAGGTCTTCTTCGAGTACACGTTATTCTCGAAGGTCAGCAGGTAGTAGAGGTGCAGATGATCCTCCAGCAAGAAGAGAAGCTTCGTGAACAGCGGATCGCGTCTGTGCTCGGGGATGTCCGGCAACGACGTGATGAACAGTCGCAGAAGCTCGCAGATGTGGCTGGTGTTGTTGCTGGAACTGATGATCGGCACGACGGTGTCGATGGTCTTGCAGATGACCTGAATCGAGTAGGCGTCGTCCTGGCGCAGTACGGTGCTGCCCATGAACGTGAAGATGGGCATGAGGTTTTGCAGCGCCACTCGGACGTTGGCAAGTTTGATCAGTTCGACCAGCACCAACAGGGCGTGATGATGAGTCTGCGGGTTCTGCGATGTTCTGATGCACTGGGATATAATGTCGACCTTTGCGTCAGGATTCTCAAAGTGAATGGATTCCACGGCCAGATGGTGGATGGTCGACAGTACCAATTGATTGATGTACTCGACGGGGCTCTGCTCGTCGAAGCAAAGAGTCGTTTTCAACACGTCAAAGAGCACGGGCGCCAAGAGCTGCTTATTCTCCATGTTCTTCTGCGAGAATTGCACGAATTCCATCAATGTGATTCCTCTTTTCCATTTCTTTGTTTCGACGACCTTCGAGTCGAACTGATATCTCATCCTGGCGAGGCTTCGTCGTTTTTTCAGCGTCGAGTTGGCCGCTTGGGACTCGTTTTCGTCGGGCGTCAGCATGATCTTGAGCTCGTCCACGACGAATTGGGCGTCGATCCTGATTTTCTTCACTGACTTCGTAATGGCGTTTATGATGGGTGCGGCGTTGCAATCGATGAACACGTCGATGAGTTTCGACAGTATCTCCTTCTGGACGCTCGGTGAGATTTCGCCGAGTTTATCGAAAAAGACTTCGTCGATTTGTTTCATGGCGATGACACTGACAAATAGTGAAACATTCTTGGCAGAAATCTGTGTTTTATCATCGGAGATACACTTTAGGAAAAAGTCAAAAACTTTGCTGTTCTTGAGTGACTCTACCGTGGTATTGTCAAATCTTTGAATGATATTCTTCAATGCTAACTGCGACCAAGATTTTTTTTCCAGATCTTTTTGTTCCAATAATTCTGATCCCAAAGGCACCAGTTTTTCAAGAATCGCAGGTCCATTTACGTATGTAAGAGTTTCTAGCAGTTGAGCTCGAATGTGCATTGGTACTTCTTTGTTTAATACCTCATTTATAAATATCTCTCTTATTGTTTGCATTTTCTTCTGTATACTAGGTCTTAAATTATCAATCACATCTGGATCAGGAGATAAAAGTGTATACAAAACAAGAGGAAGTTGTTCAGGATCCATTGTAATTTCCACTTTACGATTAATCAATTCAGAAATCAATACTGAAAATCCTTCCATGGCAATATTAAATGTTTGAGAAAGTTTCTTCAATAAAGTCATTGCACTTTCTCTGCATTGTTCATGTTCACTGCCAAGTACTAGCAACAAATGAGTCATTAAAATATTGTCACTAAAAGCCCATTGATAAGAGTCGCAGTCATCTAAAAATTTCAAACAATATTTCATGGAACATAAAGATGTTTGAATTTTCATTGGCGAGATGAATAATTGCGATAAAAATCGAACTCGTTCTATTACATCTTTGAAATGTATTTCAAAGAAAATTGATAAATACCATTCGTAATGTGCTACAAATTCAGCATGGTTTGATCTATGTCGAGGAATCATTGCATCAAAAACAATCTCTACAATTCTAAGAACTAATTGACTACAATTAGAATCATCTTCAAAATCAAATGAATAATTTTTATAATAATCTGACTTTAATCGCCTATGCACTTGTTCTAAAACATATGTTATCACTTGTAGAGGTACGTATCCTTTTTCCAAATAAATAATAGCGGCATCAAGATTTTCTGCATTAATTTGAGTGGCATTTTTCAAAGGCTTTATATTAGGATACTTTTTCACCATTTCTTCAGCCATTTCTATAGCTTTTATTGCTGTTTGGTCAGAAAGTGATTCAGATGGAACTCTGCATACTGATCCCAAAGTAATCATGTTAAAGAAAACTGATGCTGCATCTGGTTCATACAACTCTTCTTTAATTGCTAACAAAATATTAGATGCTGATGGTAGTAACTCTGATCTCAGAATGTAGTGAAATGCTGCTGTTCTCAAAGTTTCAGAACTGGGAGTACTTTTTACTTCTTCTGCTACAGCCTTTAAATATGGATTTTTCTTGGCTAAATCTGATTTTAAAATTTCTAGAGAAATATCTACATCCTCTTCTTTGATAGGAAACAAGTAAGGCAAAACCACTAAGAATACAAAAGTATCTTGTTTTTCATCTTGTTTCTCAACACAAAGATGGATCAAAACTTTCAGAGCTGGTTTAACCAAAAATTTTCTTTCTTTTATATGGCATTTGGATAGAAGAACAATTAACTGAGTTTTCAAAATATCAATATCAAATGTACTCTGAAGGAGACTTATTGGTAAATTTATAACAGCATTTACCACTCTGTCATCATCATCATTAAGCCTAGCCATAAGAGAGTTTTTGACTATATCACTAAGATTATCTGGAATTTCAGGATTCTTCTTGCCCAAATGCTGAATGGCCATCAATCTCTTTTCAGGAATATTATGGTTCAACCCAATGAATACATCTAAAGAATCATCAGCTTTTGAATACCAAGAAATGAAAAATCGTAAAATATTCCTTGATTGTGCACTAGACTCTTCAGGATTCATCTTATCTTGTAAGAATTTGTCAAATGCCTTTGGATACCTAATCTCAATTGATTTGTAAATTTTATCAAAAAAGTCTCTAGTAACTTTAGCATTTTTCATAGAGACAACATCTTCTGATAAAGTATTTTCTAAAATTGACAATATTTCTTTATCATCAAAATTAATTTTATCAAAAATATCTTCAACTACACTTTTAATTCTTGTAACTAATTCTAATCCAGATTCTTCTTCATCTCCAGAAGATTTTGCAATATAGTTGAAAGCTGTCTCCAAAAATGTATTCATGAAATCAATAATATTGACTCCTAAATTTTTTACCTCCACAATAGTTTCAACAAACCAAGTTTTTTTTGATAACTTCACCATTAAAGTTTCAGAAACTCTTGATAAACAATTAAATGGATTATTATACAAATGCAACATAAGAAGCACAATTTCTTTATGAAGATCTGGATGAACTTTTTTTATACCTTTTAAGATAAGTAAATCCATAGTTTCATCTCTAATAGTGACTTTAGTAATAAGTTTGCTTAAAATCATGTAAGAACTAGCAGCAAAATCTGATACCTGACTTCCTAGGCCTTTCACTAATGCTGGTAATATATGGTTAAATTGTACATCTGTAATATCTGATCTGTCAACAGTCATTATGATAACTGAAGTGAAGAAAGAGTACATTGTTCTCAAATTGTCAGCTTTCTCTCCATATGTCATAGTGGCAAAAATGACATATTCGCAAATTTGTTTAAGTAAGCCATTGTTTGTAGATACTTCGTGCACTAATGAAGCAAATGGTAAAGGAGTTCTTGTTTTTTTTAATGGTCTTAACCAACCCCATTTGTCTGCTGGGTCTGATAAATTAATAATTTGAAGTGCCCTACAATAAATATATAGTATTAAAATACTGACTTATAAATATATCTCAAAAATGAATTAATTTACAGTGTCAAGTATGAAATATTTACCTGACAAATATCCGTCTGTCGTGATGGGGCAAGATCATCATTATAAAGTGATCTTTGTTAAAATCATGAATATGAAATCTGTGTATGAGCCATTCTAATGCCTTATGAGCAGAATTCAATATAAAATGTGGTGATATTAAAACAAGAAATCTTTCAATATCAGAATTTAATTTACTATTGGTTTTTCTGTCCTGAACTGAACGCTCAAAGCCAATAGAGGCAATGGAAAATAGCGTCTTGCTAAATTCCTCAAATTGCTCATTGAATTTGATAAGTTCATTCAAACCACTAACACCTTAAATGATAAACAAACATGAATTGTAGTAATTTTCAAGAGCAATAAAATCGAATCAATATCTTTGGAAGTTACTTACCAATTTTATAGACAGCATCTTTATCCAACTTGGATGCTTCTTTTGTATCGAACAGCAAACTTGGCTTGTACTTGTCTTGCAGCAACAAGGAGGTTTGCGGAGTTTTCAGCTTATTCAGCTGTTCCGCCAACGTGGTGCTCGCCATTTCAAACGAATGGCAAACGCAAATTGTTTATCACAAATTTAAACTAGTTTTTGTTCTATAGGCTGTGGTCTGTCTACGATCCTACATGCACGTGCGGCGAGTGTGCGAGTACTCGAGGCATGAAGAACGGAGAGTCTAGGTTAAACCGACTGCCGCCGGGTATGTGTAATGTGGAAGAGGAAACGCTCAAACGCACGTGTTACTTTATCGGAACTAGCGCCACATCCATTCGATTCACAGCGACTGCTCACTGCACTGTTACCGAGTCCGACTTCACGAATCACGTTCGTGTAATCGTGTGAAGAAAGTTGCTGCATGCGAGTTGCGAGTCTTGCGACCGATCCAACCGCGACACTACGCCGCCTATACGTCGGCGTCATACATTGGCTATTATCATCTTGCTCGTGCGAGGTGCGTGTGTGTGTGCAGCAGAGTTAAAAACTTACGGTAATGTTTACTCGTTCTACAGGCCGCGGGCACAAGCCAACGCTGCGATTGCCTGCACTGTGCTGTGCGTGACACGAGGAGATACGGACGCCCAGGAGTGACCCGCGCAGCTGCGTCGCATACGGCCGCGCACCTCCTTTCCTTTTATTGCCGTTTGTTTTTCTCTCCTGTCTGTGTATACTGTATTGCGCTATATGCCCAAGTGGACACGCATTGATACAATTGAACGACACCTACTATAGGCCTGTATACGTGAGAGAGAGAATCATGGGCATACGTGTGCGTGCGTAATCGTAACGTTCATTTGAATCCATAGCAGCACCAGCGACCGCTGCTACATTTATTAATAATAAAATAATTAAATATTGTTCTGTCGCATACAGTTAAAAGTCAGTTGTGCAGTGGTGATGCGTGAATATTGAAAAAAATCCGTTAATTCCGTTAGAATTAGTTGCCCGAGACGCTCTCGATGTGTTTGTTCCTGTACGTTTTTACCTGTTATCGAGTCAAGACTCGACGTGTGCAGATGTGATTACGTACAAAAATTGATTTTCGATTCCATTGCAAAATTTCTTCTGCCGAGGCTTGGATGTAAAAAAGAAGAGAAGAAAGTGCAGTAATCTGTTTTGTATCTTGGCATCATTTTGTGCAGTCTTCGCCAAATGTGTATATAATCTTGTCTTCTGTTTGAATCATTGTTCGTTCAGTTTTATTCTTTGTGCGCAGTAAATTGTTGTAACGTGAGAGATTATTTTCTCAAATCAGTGTGTGTGAGTGTGCACGTTTTTCCAAGTGCAATAATAAACTCTAGTTCGTGCCTCAATAGGGTGAGCGTGTATGCCACGACCATAACCTCGCATCTTTTGTTGACATCTTTTTTAAACGTTTGGCGTTCCGTTGCCGCCAAGCTTCTTTTCATCGCCAGTGCTCGATAAATTTGTCAAACTGGATCCCAAACAGTTCAGCAATCGTGGAATGGAGATTAAGCGGGTAACCATGCCCCAAAACTCTATGCCGATTCCAAATACCAGCAAAGATCCATCCTTGGAGATAAGGGCCGTGCATTCCAAGTCATCCAATCATTCTGTGCCGAAATCCTCCAGAGATGCATTAGAAATCAGGCCGGTCAATATGATGCAAAATTCGAATATGAACATGATGCCGAATGCAAATTCTTATCAAAATATGATGCTGCAGAATGCCATGATGCATAGCGCATTCATGCAAAATGCTTTTAATGTTCAATTACACAATGCCATGTTGCAGAATACTCATCTGCCACAGACGAGCAGTAATTCAGCTTTGGAAATCAGACCGGTATCTGTGTTACAACATGCCCCACCAGCATCAAATCACAATAAGAACTCTGGTGTAGAGATCAAGCGTGTACCAATAACACAACCCAGTGTTATTCAAAACCTTAGTTCAGACTTGAAATACAATGTATCAACTCAAAGAATTACCCCCTCCTGTACAATCACCAGTAGAGATATGAAGGACGACACCAGAAAACCACAAAATTTGACGATAAAAAAGAGCAAAAATATGGCTTCTACCTCGTCTAAAAGTACGAATAAAGCCGAAATTAAAAAAACATCTGTTTCAGTTAATCAGTCTCACAAAGATATGAAACATCCTATGGCACACAGTATTCCACCTTCTATTTCGATGAACAAAGTTAACAAAGATATTTCAATGAACAAAGTTAGCAAAGATATTTCAATGAACAAAATTAGCAAAGATATTTCAATGAATAAAGTTAATAGAGATATTTCAATAAACAAAATAAACAAAGATTCTAAAAAGTCTTTACCAAATTCATCATCAAATTCTGTTCGAGAGTCAAAAGATGCCAAAAGACTATCCATGCAAAATTTACAATCTCAAGTCCCAAATAAGGAAGTTAAAGAAGCAAAGAAATTAAGTTTGCCTAATGCACCTCTTCCCAATTCAAATGTAGGTATGAAAGACTTAAAAAAAACTAGTTCTCAAGTTACATTAACACAAAATTCTCAAAGAGAACCAAAGGAGGCCAAAGTAGTAGAATCTCAAAATGTTTCTGCACAGAATTCAAACAAAACCATAAAAGAAGTGAAACGAGTAAATTTGCAAAGTACATCACAACAAAATTCGAGTAAAGATTCTAAAGAACCTAAGCGAGCTGTTTTACAAACTGTATCAAAAGCAAATAGCAATAAATCAGAAGCCAAGCGTGCAACTTTGCAATCTTTACCTAGTAAAATAAAAGATAAAGAAAATACAGAAAAGGAAGTGTCTCAGAAAATGAGTGAAAAAAATATAAAACCATCACTGCGATTTGAATTAAAACTCACACCTTCCACTGATGATCAGTGTCCAGAATTTAACTATGCTGAATTATTGAGTGAAAGAGAAAAGAAATTACGGAAAGGAAAACGGAAAGATGATAAAATTACTAATGGAGATTTATCAGATAAAGACGATATTCTGGATGTGGCTAGATATTTTGAAGAAAAGTATGGGCATAAAAAACGTGATAATGTAGATTTAGGAGCTGGATATGATGATGAAGATTCATTTATTGATAACACTGATGCTTATGATGAGCAAGTTCCTGAAGAATTAACAACTGCACTTGGTGGATTTTATGTTAATAGTGGTCCATTAGAATTTAAAAATTGTGACACAATTTTAAATAGGCGAAAAGATTTGGATGAGTCAGATGATGGTTCTGACGACGATAGTGATGCAGCAGATAGTAGTGATGAAAGTGAAGGTAGCGATGAAGAAGAGTCAGATGAAAAAAGCGATAAAAGTATAGAAGTAGAAAAAACCAATCAAAAAAAGAAAAGAGTTATAAGTTCTGATGAAAGTGATGACAATGAAAAAACTAATGGTAAAATTTCTTCACCGCCAAAATCGAAACCTCGTATGGAAAGTGATAATTCTGAATGTATGGTCATTGATTAACTCGTAAGAGATGTATTGTAGATTTGTAAACTGTAAAAAAAACTATTTTTCATTACTTCTAGTCATAAGACGTTGTAAACTATCATCTAATTTTTGTATAAATTTTCACGTATGATTTTTTTTCTTAATGAAATAAACTTGCTGTAAATAATGTTAATATGTCCGCTGTTAATATAAAATATAGTTATAAATATGAATAAGTTGATTTAATATTGTGCTGTTAAAGGCACTAAAACCTTCTTATTTTATAAAATTCATTTTTCTTAAATTCACTGTTTTTTTATTTCTTACTTATTTCTACCTTTCCTCAATATACATTCAATTTATCTTTAATATTGCAATCAACGAGTAAAATTTATTTTTCTTCAGAGTAATTAACAAAAATAATAATTTAAAACTTTTTGTTTTGGAAATCGAAAACCAAAACAATTGTCTGCATTACATATGATACTGTAACGCACAAATAAATTATACTTCATAAATTTCTCATAAAATCAAAGAAAATTTATTTAGATGTCTACACTCTTACCAAAAATCAATTTTTTTCAACTTTTCATTGCAGTTAATTACTTTTCATTACATATTTTTTAGAAACAAAAACTTGAAAGAGTTTTATGTAAATGATTTTTATTCTTTTTTGGGGAAAGTTGAAAAAATTTTATGGATACTCCTCGTGAATTGATTCTCCACGCGGCTTTCACGTGGAGAGCTCACATAGCTTGAACATAGCTTTGCTCGTGTTCAAATATCATTTCCCTTTCACAGGAGCTTTTCATAAACACATGACTCTTTTCAGGTTTAAAATTTCATAAAAAGTCTTCTGTATTATTGTTGAACAATGGATATTTTTTTCAGGTTTTTCAAATTGGGTAGTAGTACACGATTTTTAAAAAGTTTACGGACCCATATTATATGTTACGCTGACCAATTGTGTTGCGTGTACGGTGTATGACATGTTGCTGTCGGACGGGCGACGGCGAATGCCGGTTCTTCAGATACATAACCACACGATTCGTTCAATGGTCTGCTACTGAAAAATCATTTGAATATGAGTAAAACATGTAACAAAACAGCGAAAAAATTGAATCTTAAGATTCTCATGAAAAGTGAGTGATAAACTGGTCATTATAAAGGCAGTGCTTCATTGAAAATTAAATTGTCATTTTATCATAATTTACGTGAATTTTTTTATAGCTGAAAAAAATGTTAAATCTGACTTGACACTGGATGCCCCTGTTGTTAAGAAAGTACAATCGTTGGATGTTGATTCTTTAAAAACAACACCCGGACTAATAGAGCAATTAAAAGATGCACCTTCTACTCAATGGGAAATAGATATTAGTTCTTGCAGACTTCCTTATTCTTTTTACAATGTTCCTTGTCAAATATTAGCAAAAAATTTACTTGGTATTTTAACAAAATACTAATAAAAAGCATATTTTTCATTAAAATTATTTAAAGATTTTTTTTAAGGTAAGGTATTAGTTAGAAAACTAGAGAATGGAGCAATTTTGAAAGGGAAAATTGTTGAAACTGAAGGTTACTTGGGGTTAGAAGATAAAGCATCTCATACTTATCAGGGTAAAGTTACACCAAGAAATATTCCAATGTATATGGCTCCTGGAACAATATATGTTTATTTTACATACGGAATGTACCACTGCTTCAACATATCTAGTCAAGGTATGAAAAATATGAATGTTTCATTGAAGATCTCTAGTCAGCTTGTTATATATAAAATTTAATTCAAATTAGAGGAAGGAAGTGCAGTCCTTATAAGAGCTCTTGAGCCTCTTGAAGGTATTGAATTGATGAGAGAGCATCGCAGTTGTAAACCATATGCCAAAGTCCAGAAAAAATTGTCAAAGGAATTAAAAGAGCATGAATTGTGTAATGGCCCATCAAAAGTTTGTATGGCAATGAAATTAGAAAAAAAACATAGCAAATATTCCTTGTGTGATTGGAAAGAACTTTGGATAGAAGAAGATCCTACACAAGAGGAAGTAAAAAAAATAATTGAATGCAAAAGAATTGGAATTGATAAAGTTGGACAAGAATGGGCTGATAAACCTTTACGATATTACATATACGATCATAAATGTGTTAGCAAAAAAGATAAACTAGCTGAATCTATTCAGTTTCCTTAATAAAAAAATAAAAATTATTCTATTGAGATATATGAGATTATAGTAAGTTAATAAGTTATAATAATGTTGTTTTTTACTATTATTATTATTTTTTTTAATAATAAAATATAATAGAAAAATAAGGCCGAAATATTGTTCAATTTTCCAACAATAAAAAATTTTTTTTTAAATTATTTCTGATTACTCATGTAACATTTATGAAACGAATGAATGCTGGATTTTGAAAACTTTTCATCGTTTTTCTTGATAATCAATCAATCAGTGGAACTTCATTTTTCATGAATAATTGACATTTTTAAATTTTTATAAACACTAGAATGCTACCACTACGAACGTATCTACATTATCAGTAGAAAGAAAACAATATTCAATTTGAATTAGTAATTAGGCTTCGTTCATAATGAACATGACTCCAGACAAAGATGGAGCTACATATGACATCAAAAAACAATAGTCACCACTCACCATGCCATATAGCTATGGCAGCGGCATTCAAGTACTCAGGCGCACTATAACATAGCGCGCACCTAAGCGCGACCCCCTCTCTCTATTTTTCCAAATTTTAAGTATATACAACATCAAGAGTCCATCCGTCAAGTAAGCTCTTTGCCTATCACTGTATTCTGAGCACTTGAACTGTGAACATCGACTCTTTCTCTCTACTAGACACGCAGCAGTGTGAGTGTGAGATCAAGCGAGACAGAAGGAAGGTAGTTATATACGTCAACAAGTCAACAAAGAAAACTCGAAATCATGAAGGTTACCGTAGCTACGCTCACCGATGAGATTTTCACCCTCGACGTTGCCGAAGATTTGGAATTGGAAAATTTCAAGGCATTCTGTGAGATTGAAAGCCGAATACCAGCCAACGAAATAGTGATACTGCATAATGGCCAGCCCTTGGTAGACGCCAAAATGTCACTGAGTCAACACGGAATTAGAAATGACGATACTGTGGTACTGCAGCAAATCCATCAGTCCTTGCCATTGCCGACGCAACAACAGCCAGCTCACCAAAATTTAGCTGGCTTAGATTTCAGTTCTATTAGGATTCCGAGTTCTCTAGGAGCAGCTTCAACATCGAGTGGGAATTTCAGAACCGGGGATGATCCAGCTATGATCCGAGACATGTTTTTGGCCAATCCAGATCAATTGTCGTTGCTGAAACAGAACAATCCAAGACTAGCTGATGCTCTACTCTCCGGTAATTTGACAACATTCACTGATGTTTTGAATGAGCAGGTAAAAATCAGAGAAGAAAGACAAACACAAAGGTTGAGGATGATGAATGCCGATCCATTTGATTCAGAAGCGCAAAAGCTGATTGCTGAAGAAATAAAAAGAAAAAACATCGAAGCCAACATGGAGGCAGCTATGGAATATAATCCAGAAACTTTTGGTTCAGTCGTTATGTTGTACATTAATTGTAAAGTTAATGGACATCCAGTAAAAGCTTTCATTGATTCTGGTGCACAAGCAACAATTATGTCAGCTGCATGTGCAGAGCGTTGTCATATTATGAGATTAGTTGATACCAGATGGTCAGGCATTGCTAAAGGTGTTGGCGTTCAACGTATTATTGGTCGCATACATATGGTACAGATACAAATTGGTAACGATCATCTTACAACATCATTCAGTGTACTAGAAGAGCAGCCTATGGATATGTTACTGGGTTTAGATATGTTGAAAAGACATCAATGTTCAATTGATCTCAGAAGAAATATTTTGGTCATTGGCACAACAGGTACAGAAACACCATTTTTAACTGAAGGAGAACTTCCAGAGTGTGCAAGATTAACTAATAACGAAGCAGACAGTGAAAGTGATTTACAAAAAGCCTTGGAAGATAGCGCCAAGGCAGCAAACAATAGCAAAATGGATACAAGTGAAGTAAGTTCTTCAGACTCAAAGTCAACTGCATCAAACTCAAATGACATTATTGAACCCACGGATCCTTTTACAGAAGCAGTAGTAGTAGAAATAACTGGTCTTGGTTTTGCTAGAAGTAAAGTTATATCTGAATTAAGACGTTTTAATGGGGATAAAAATCAGACTATTGCTGCGCTCTTTGCTAGTTCTCTTAAATTTTGATAACATTACCACATATAAAAATCATCAAAGCATGGGTGCATAAGTAAATTATACTTTTCAATATTTAAATATATGTAAATATTAAAATGTGCAAAAAAATATGAAAAAACTAAGTAAGCAATTTATAAAAAAAGTGAAAGATCATAATATTGTAAGAATTCTAAATTATTATGCTAAGTTATCATTAATATTTATTATGGTATGAGGAACAAATTTATTTTGACTTTACATGAGATAGTGTTTTCTCACAGCATTAAATTAGCTCAAAGTAACTTGAATAGAAATTTTTATTGACTCTTTATTAGAATAAAAAAAAATTAGTTGAGTTCATTTATAATTTTATAACTAGAAAAAAAAGCTATTTGACTACTGAAAAGACAAAGAATTTTCTGCTTATAATAAAATCATTAAGCCTTCATTTAAAAATAAAAAAGTTTACGAATTTTTTCTGATGTACAAAGAATTATTGGCAGAGATTCAAAAACTCTGAACTGAATATTTAAAAACAGAACAAATCAAGTGAATGAACCTATATCTATATCTTAAGCAAAAAAATGTGAGGCACAAGTACTGCCATTCAAAAAAAATATTGTTCATTTGACTGTTTTCAAAACAGAGATAAAAAGTCTGATTTCAATAAACAGAAGATATTAATAAAAAAATTAATAAACATATTATTAACAAAAATTGTTTGTATACAATATAATGTATCCTTAATGTTTCCCATAATAATAGTATAATATTTACATGACTTGGTTAAAAAACAGATGAATAAAATGTCATTACTTTCTAATATTTCATTGTTTATTATACAACTGCAAGCTTTTAAAAAAGCACATAAAAATTTCATTGCATTTAATAAAAGAAAAGATGACATAATTTTAACTTGCGAAATCAATTTCTTCAAATTCAAATTGATTTATCACAAATTTAAGATAACTTATTTACATATAAAAATTATCAAAGAGAAATAATTTCATGATGTTTCTCTTATTTCATTATATACAGCCCTTACAGCCTCCACAGCTGAAGTATGAATTTAATTGTACATAACATTGGAATGTTTTAAGCCCACTCTTTCACAACTCGTTCATAATCATCTTCATCTATGAAAGGCTTGTCAATAGATCTGAAATGATGAGTAAATTTATTAAAATTCTATGTATCGTATCTTTTCTCCATGAACAATAGACTTACTCTATCATCAAGTCTCCACAGTAGAGACATTCTGAAGCAATCAGTTCGTCGATATCGGCCTTGATTTGTTCCTTCGTCGAGAGAGAAGCCGAGATACTCGCATTATCGCCGCCTCGATTCAGATCGCCATTAGTTGCCATTGTCAACTGGTGTTGCAATTCGGCCAGTTTCGTTTGATCCTGCAACGTGAGCATCGGCGTGAGGGCTGCTACTAGGCAATCGCTGTGGAAACGATGTCCACAGGGAAACACGTAAAAAGGTCGAAGAAGCAGCTGTATGTTGCAATTATTACAGACGTCCTTTGAGTGGACAAATGTGCAACTGAAAAAGAGAACTCATCGTTGGATTCAGGATTTTAATTTTTAACGTCAAAAGCGTTGTTTTATGCTTTACCGATTACGAAAAGCTTTGATATCCTGTCTGATGACTTCCGCGGCTTTGGTAGCTTCTTCCATTTCCTCTTTGAGATCTTGCATGTGGCGATTATATTCCTGTTGATATAATAATAATTTAATTGTAGTACTGCAAAATACTTTAATTTTTCGTTGCAAAATTACGTGCCTGTAAAGAATTGCAAATAGCTTCCTTGAAATGATCAATTGTGACGAAATCGTCGAAAAATGGTAAGATATCCTCAATCCTAACGAGTTCGCATTGTTGCAAAAATTCCATCGCTTGTTTAATATCGTTCTTCTCTCTAACAACGTGTTCAGCTGTATAAAAGAAATTTTAACTGTAACAGATCTGAAAAAATGACGTGATCAATAAGTTAAGTTAATTTAACATACCGATTTTAAGCCAAAGTTTTTTTCTCAGTTCATCGTTTCCGTGATGCGACGGCATGGCTGCAATTTGTTTAGCCAAATCAACGCTTATGGTCAGCGCTAAATCGATTGCCGTCGTCCAGAGGCCGAGCAACGCGGACAATTGCACGCAAGCTTCAGTAAGATCGTTTTCTTTGCAGAGGCGCAGAGCATAACGAACGTCGTAGTGCACCATGCTTATGTCTTGACCTAAAATAAAGAAAAAGTTATTGATCCAAGTATTTTTTTTGCGACAAAATAGTTGTTACTAACCTTGTGAGCTAATGTAGCGCATAACTTCGTCTTTTTTGTAACGAACGTAGAGCGAAAGTAGGAAATTGTGGATTGCCTGTTCTTGACAACTCTGCTCATAAATGCAGTGTTCCAGATAGCGTATGATCTCCCGGGCCTGTTAAAAAACGAAAAACTTAAGTATCTAATTTTCAAAATAATAAGTTAGAAATAATTTTAATTTAACTCAATCTCACATGTTTTTCATCTGTTGTACAAGAGACTAGAGCCGGTATCAATCTGGACGGCTTCAACAACGATCCTTGAGCGATAATAGCTGCAACCGTTGGTTTTGGCAATTCATCGAGTAACGTGCTGATAAATTGATAAAATAACTCTTTGTTTGGCTGGCTCTTCAGCACTTCCAAAGCTTCGAGGAAGTTTCTCTTGTAAAGTTGCTGTCTTATTACTTCTTCGTAATTGCGATTCATGATGGATAATTTCAACAAAATATCCTTGTCACCATGGCTGGCCAGTATATTACAAATGACGCTGCGATTTTTTCGCACGCAATCCTACAAAAATTAATCAAGTTAATTACCATTGCTGTCATTTATCTTAACAATAAGCAAACTTACATCGACTTTGTCAATCGCGAGAAAACTGTCGAATAGTTTCTGAAGCTCTACGTATCGCGGATTTTGTTGGTAAGTGGTAGATTCGCTGCAACGGATCTCGCCCATTTGACTCACAAAGAGCTCGACTATCCAGACTACGAGCATTGTAATTTGCGTTTTATCTTGCGGTCTCAAACCTTCAAGTTTCTGGAATTTGAAAAATCAGCTTACTATTTTATACATTAGTGCGTGTGCACATTACTAACTATTGTTAACATTACCTTCACAAGAAATGTTTTCAGAGCTTCCATTTGGTTCTTTTCCATGAATTTCAGACAAACTTCTTCAAAGGAAGAATGAGAATCGGCATAAATAAGTGCACTTTTTTCATATCTATTGAATAATGGAATATTTGTTAGTTTATCGGTGAATTATACTGAATCAAGAAATAAAAATGATAATTACTCTTTATTATTAAACAAATTCTCAGCTTGTTTCACAAGTACTTGGTTAATGTGAGCTGGGTTGTCCCCGCAGTATTGTTTTGCTAAATCAAATTCTCCTTTGTCTATGTATACCTTGAAATCAGATCAATTTTGTACAAAAATATTTCTGTCAATTTATAAACAATTAAAAAATTACCTGCCAAACATTACGATCTTCTTTAGTTACTTTGTATTTAAAAACTGCTCTTTCACTATAGGCCCAAATTGATCCACTTGTACAATCTTTAACTATATTAACAAGTTTTCCATAAGCCTATTGATAATGATAAAATAAAAAATTTGTTGAGTATACTGAATTGAATATGTATTGCAAAAAAGTACTTTTTTACTCACATCGTTATAAATATCTTCAAAAATAAGTTCCTGATTTAAAAGAGAAACACCTTTCACATGATCAACATATAAAAGAAGAACATGAAATTCTGTAAGAACAAATGAAAGGGGAGCTGCTGTTTTCTTTTTATTTGTGTTATTTATACTACTGCTTAATAGACTAGTTTCAGGACATGGCAAAAACTGCTGATTAATCAATATATTTTCTGGATCTGATTTTGTATCAACCTTAACAAAAAAATAATTACTAGTTATTCTTTTCTAATAAATTGATTGTACTTAAATGTATAATAGTAATATACCTGAGCATATAATATACCAGTTTCAGTCAACCAACTGAATGATTTTGGAAATTCTTGAGGAAAAGAATAATAGAATTGCATTTTTGAATATGGCAATGAACTTTCCAATTGATTAAAACGCTCTAGAAATAAATAATAATTTTTATTTTCAATTTTGAAAAATCAAATCAAGTAATACTATGTACCTTTAATATTTAAATATTTGCTAAATACTTGTTGAAGAAGAGGCTTTTCTTCGTGATTATTTACAACTCCAATATATTGATAAATACGAATAAGTGTTGTCAATATAATAACATATTTATCTGTATTGGGTATTCTTCTGAATTCTATACCAGTTATAGGGGGTTTACTATCCTTACCAATATCAAAAACCTGTTACAAAAATTATTTTACAGTAAAAAAATTGATTCTTGTGTATAAACTAACATTAATAGTTTTTTACCTGTTTTGAGTACTGCTCTAAACTTGTAGTAAATATTTTATCTCCATCTAAACCTATTTCAGTTTCAAATATGAGGCCTTTAGAAGATCCAAGTAAAATGGGTCCAGAAGTGGTTTCAGATGTATTAGTAACATTCCAGCCAACTGCAGTAATTTCATGTCCTCTAAACTTTGAAGACTAAAAATTCAAATAATTAATGATTTTTCTAGATTTGTTTCTTTGGATAAATTTGAAAATAATACCTGTTTGAATTTTGTTGCTTTTCTATGTAAATAGAAAAGCTCTGGCACTGAAGTGGGGTCATTTTGTTTTGGAGCAGCAGCTATTAACAAATGATATCCTAAAGGGTCAAGAAACATGCCAGACAATTTTAAATTTCCAAGGTATTTAGTGATGTCAATTTCTAAAAAAAATCAATAAATATTTTTGTGAAATTCATGATTTGTAAATCATAGAGATGTATTTATGTTACAACACAATACCTTCTGGCTTATCTGGCTGTTTCATATCTATCCTAAGGATAATATTATTAGCCATTGCGATTACAACATAATTGCTGCTGACACACATATGTACAATTTTATCAGGAGGCATGAAGTTGACCTTCTGCTTGATAAAAATAGGGATTTCATCTTGAAGTTTCATTTGTATGAGCCCAGCAGGATTCTAGAAATTTAAAACAATGTCAATCTCTCATGCATTGAGAATTATTCAAATTTTAAGAAAATAAAATTCATACAATCTCAGGCCTTATAGATGACTGTGCAGGTTGTTTTGACCTTTGAGAGGCCTGCTCGTACTGATCAAATACAGAAGTCATTTTTTCTCAACACTGTGATTAAAAAGCTTGTAAAAGTCTTCTTATCAGCATAATTTTTGCTGGTCTAGCCTGCAAAATTAATTATTGAAATAAGCAATTGGAATTTTGTGGAAAAACATTAGCTATAATATTGAAAATAAAGATATTGAAATATTTGTAAATGTACGAGCAAATCGAATAATCACAACAGTGAATTTGACATTTATTACATACCTAACCTATTTTTTTGACATAAGAAAAAGAATAACATTTGATATTTCATCAAATCTAAGCAACTCAAAAGAGCAACTGACTTTCGCACTGAATCATTAGCATCTTACAAAAATTAAACCAAAAAGAAAAATACTTTGAGGGAAAAAATTGACGAAAATCAGGGCGTTGCATTAGTCACTACTGGAGACGACGAGTTTCTCTGAGAAAGTCGAGCTTGCGTGTATGTGAAAATTGCTTAAAGATAAAACCTTCTGCATTATTACCCTTATTTCATCAGTTAGTACAAAATATTGTAAAAATATATCTGAAATTTTAATTGCGCTATGATTGAATTAATTTTTTAAGGGATTTTTTAAACGAATCGTTAATATAGAAAACTTTCAAAATTGTTACATCAAATAGGCAAAAGATAATCTCGAATCGATGAGTTAAAGATAATGTCAGATGATGTGTATACACACTTACACAAAATATTTGGAATACCTTGCCGGACGGCGACTAGAGATGATCTTATTGTTTTGTGACAGCGTCGGTTGACAGATTTTTTCCAAAATAATTTGAGTTCCGTGAAAACCAACGATGGTTTTTAAAGTACTTTAAATTATAAATTATTGTAAAGTACGTCGAACTTTAGAATATCTGTAAAGTGAGATGTGTGAAATATAGTAATTTTAATCCAAGCCAAAAATGTTGAGCAGAAATGTTTGAATAATTATTATTTTGACACTTTTATTGTGACTTGCGGAAAAAATAAAATTAAGGGATAAAGTTACAAAGTTACTTTTTTAATATGTAAAGCTATCATTCCTTCAAAGCTTTGAAAAATATCGTTCGGTGTAATAATTAGTAATTGGAAGAATTGAGAAATTTAATTTAATCTAAAGCTGGTTTAAAAGCAATAAATGTTTAAACCTAAAGTCATGGAGGAGGAAGACGATCCTGTAGTTAAAGAGGTACAAAATTTTGATAATCCATTAATAACTTATTGTTTGATATGAATAATTTTCAATGTTTTTAAAAGGTTAGGTAATAAATATTCTGAAAATATTGTTAAATCTTCAATTCTATTTCAAAACTATTGACAAAATTGCAAAATTTCTTGTTCAATGCATTTAAAATATTTTTAAATTGTTCACAGATTCCTGTATATTTGTCAAAAAGACTTGAAGATAATCTTTTTATTTTTCAATATCCTTTGAAAAGTGCCCAAGATGGTTACGATGATGCTATTGTAAAAAATGCTGCAATTAAAATAGAAAATCAAGAAGTCAAACTTGATGTAATGTTAGATACTACAAGCATAAATTATGATGAAGATAAAGCGGAAGAAATAGCAGATCTTTCAAAAGATCAAGAAGAGAAAATATTTGATGTGTAATTATATTTCATATATCATACTTTAATCATTTATAAAATTGATGCTCAAGAAACTTGTGGTACTTTTTCAGTGATAAAATGGATAAAATATCTTTGACTTCTAGTCGAGTGACATCAAAATATGAAAATTATGCCATTGGAGTTTTTCAAAATAATGAACTTCATTTGACTCCTTTGAAGGGATTTATTCAGTTAAGACCAGATTTCAGTTATCTCGATGACATTGGTAAACCACCTAAAAGTTTTGGAAAAAATGATGCAGATGGTTTGTAATCTAAGCACGTTTATTTTTTTTAATTCTTTTGAATATTTTCATGAAATTAAAATTTCTTTTTTAATTTATGTAATAGGAAGTGATGATGAACTTCTAGAGCATGAAGTGCATGCGAAATTTGCAAGACCAGTTCCAGATTATGTTCAGAAAAAAAGAGAACAATCATTTGAAACTCATGCCAAAAAAAGTATGGAAGAAACATGGATTCCTAGCGAATACATTTCTAAAAAAACTAATAAAAATCATCAGATTGATGTGAGTTATTTTTGTATGATATATGATTTTGTGTGAATCTTAACAACTTTTTAAAGTATCTTAGTACAAGAACTTTTAATAAAATTTGTTTACAATTTTAGTTGACTCGTATGGAAATGTTCTGTGAAGCAAGTGATGATTCTGTTAATGATTTTACTTTAACTAAAAAACAGTATTTAGATTTAATAGCCCCACCAATAAAAAAACCAGAATATGCGAAAGCTGATGTTCCAAGTCCTATTTCTACCCTTAGTTATATAAGAACGCGTCCTTTAATTGATCAAGTTCGCTTGTTAATGAAAGATGGTAAATTTTTCTTATTTTTATATTTTTATGAGCACTTGTTTATAGATTCTCATGAATAAATTAAATTTTTTTCAGCAAAAATTATGTCCTTTGAACAGTTAAAAGCATTATTATCGGCTGAACATCAAACGACTGCAATTTTAAGATATCTTCAACAAGTAGCTTACCTTGTCCAAGGAAACTGGGTTGTTAATAGTGAATTAATATATCCTAAAGATGCTGTATCTTCACATTCTGGTATACCAGCTGAACTCATGTGCAGGGCTAGAGATTATATAGTAAGATTTTATTATGAAATAAATTTCTGTAAACAATTAAAAAATAAATATAAATAATATTTTTTTAGCTTCTCTGTTTCACTGAAAGCGAATTCGTTGATAGAAGAGCAGTCTCTTCAGTTGTAAAAATGCCTGTTGAGGAAGTACGTGAAATATTAAATAACTTGGCAAAACATGTACCAAAAAAAGGCTGGAAGCTGATAATCAATCCTAGTTTAGATTTTGTCAAAAAGTATGTTTTCGGGACATGGCATATTTTACTTTTTACTGAAGTAAATGAACTCATTGTAAAATTTATTTAAACAGGTATCCAGAAGTTGCGCATCGACAAGCCCTTTTTTGGGAAACTAGAGGCAAACAGTTACGTGAAATAATAGAATCGCACCACAACACGCCGCAACGGAAGCGTCGATGACAATCGTATTCTAGGCAGTGGCCTAAAGCAATGCTGTCTATTAAAAAAGAAATCAAAGAAGAATTCTAAAGATAAAACCGAAAAATCGAGATTGTTTTTCAAGCTATTATCAATTTTAACCTTTATTATTTGACAGAATAAATAATAAAGATGAAGATTTAGAACAGATTTTAGGGGTTTTAGCAGGCTAATGTTAAAATAAATATATTGTAATATTTTTTGTAACATTTTAAAGGGATATTTTTTAATGCCGCGACTGAATTGTAAATTAATACACTTGAACATAAAACAATGCTAAGTTCTCAAATGTAATAATAATGTAATTAATTTTTATTCAATATAAACAACGTAATAATTTTAATAGATACACGTGTTTTTCACAGTATATTGTGTAACTTCAATCTTGTACATATAAATGTAGACAGATTTATTAGATTAATATATTTAAAAAGCAATTAAATCATCTCAAATGCGTCATAGAAAGATCGCTTGATATTCTTTACGATATCTATCAGTTTAAGTTAAAAACAAATGTTTGTAAACATACATTATATTCTTGCACGCCATACGTATAGAGCACCCTGTAAACTCGGATATATTTTTATTCAGCTTATGCGAACAAATATGTTGATGGATTGAAAAAGCAAAAAAAAAATTGAAACGTGCACTTTTCAAATCAACCTTATTTATTGCCAAATGGCGTGTATTTATGAATTAAAAGATGTTTCACAATCGTCTTTTTTTAGACGTAGCGGATTGTTACGTAGAAGCGAGAAACTTCTTTTCGCTTCAAAAGAAAAACGTAAATACCATGTTATCGAGACTTGTATATTTCAGGATAACATCGTGGAAAATTGACGCAAAGTACATCGACGATAGCCTAGGGTTCAGCGTCGTCGGCATCTTCCGATTTGCCGTCGTTAAAAATACGCACGGGTTTTAGCATGCAATTTTTCACGTTTTGGAACTTGGGCAAAACGTCGTCGGACACGCGCCGGTCCAAGGGAAAGCCGAGCGATCGGCCATCGAGCAGCAGACCCTCGAACAAGGCGGACCGGTATCGATGAATTTTGTTCTCTTCCGGCGCTGGATGCAGACAGACGAAGAGTTGGACCCTCAGTCCGTCGGCGGTACCTGTACGCATCGAAACAGCTCGTTAAATTCATATTAGAGATTAATTTTAGGGTCGAACGGGGTGGTCTTACCTCGAGGCAAAATCAATCTCCCCGGCAGAGCGTGTCGGAGGGGTTTGCTCATCCCGTCCGAGTCGCCGACGCCACGGACCGCGCGGGCCACGAGTTTGTTGTAGGCGGCACTGGAGACCGGCTCCGGCGCATAGTAGACGGCTTCGGCGCTGCTGCGCACGATCTTGTTCATGCCAGCTTTCACTGAATCATAGTAATAGAAAAATGTCAATCAACTTCATGCGAGAGCAAATTAGAAAAGATGCAATGAAAATCTCACGGTCGAGGAGCCAGCGATCGATCTCGTAAAATCGATGCCTCTCGGTCAGCGGGTCGATCTCGCGCCCGAACTCGTCGAGCTCCGGGCCGAGGAACAGCCTGACGACCACGGCCCTGGCCGGCGAATCGGCGTGCACGCCGATCTCGTAATCGAACGGCCGACTCTGCAGTCGAGTTCGTCGAACCTTGACCGTGTGCTGTGGCGGTGGCGATGACGACGACGATTGTTGGGCCTGACGTTGTTGCTGCTGATGATGATTACTGCCGCTGTCAGTCGTCGATCGCAAATCGCGCCGATGATGATTGACGTACGACTCGTACGCCTCGAAGCGAGTATGCAAATTATCGTCCAGATGTACGTAATCGACGCGCACCGCGTCGTACGTCAGCTCGGCCAGCGAGTAAGGCTCAAGGCGGCTCTTGTATCTGTTTTATTATTATGTTATATTTTAATCGTATTAATTGAAAGAGGTTGCATTGTAATGACCCGTGACGTCGTGTAGCTCGTAACGAAAAAAGAACGTGACTCAATTTGTATTGGCGCACGTGACCGGTAGTAGTATAAGGACTTACTGTTCGCCGAAATCGACGATTCGCTTGATCAATCTGTAGAAGGCCGGATCGCGCGAGCACGTCATGGGCATCTCGATGCTGGCCGGCAGATGCTTCGCGTGACTGCCGAGCAGGCGTCGGTAGAGGCGCTCGACCGAGCCGAAGTATCGCAGGTCCAGCGTGGCCCGATTGCCCTCGAGGACGTTGCAAAAGTCGTTGAAGTGGCGCGGATCGCTCAGGCTCAGCCTGTTGGAGATGTAACTGTTCATGACGCCCGAGTCCAGAGACATCGCCAGGCGCGATTCGTAATGCTTCGCGTCCTATCGATATACATAAATTCAAAAAAATAATTAGACGCCGCGCGCTGCTTTATACATCGACTAAAAGAGATACAATGATGGACCTCGAGCCACGCGTAGCTTCTCGCGGGCAAGTTGGTGCCCGCGACTCTACCCGGCACGAGGCGGCCGTTGTGGTGGATCATGTCGCTCTCGTAACCGATCGCGATCGGCCGCGCCCAGTCGATGTGCTCGACGTCGGGCTTCCTCATGTTGGCCGCGCTCATCTCCAGCCGATACTTGGCCAGCAGCATCTTGTGCACGTGACAGTAGAGCTCGCCGTGAGTCTGCTCCTGGTCGTCGATCGCCGGCAGCCAGTGAGGCCTCGAGCTCGCGAAATTGAAGTAAAACTCGTTCAAGCCGACGTCCTCGAGATAGTAGGCGAGCACGGATTGCTCCGTCGAGTCCGATGATTCCGCGTCGTCGTCGTCGACGATGGTATTGTCGGCCCGCGACATCTCGCCCGTCTTCATCATGTACGACTGCAGGACGACGTCCGCCCCGAAGAAGTAATTCGGCGCGATCTCCCAGAGATTGGGCATGCGCAGGCCGCGGCAGTCCTCCCGGCGCTGTAGAGCTATCGCCAGGGCGTGAATCCAGGCGAGCTCGTCCCACCGATCGTCGCTCCAAGCGGCGATCGTGACGAAATCGTCGAAAGTCCGGGCGTCCACGAGCACGTTGGCGAGGCTGCGGATGGCCTCGACGTCCTCGTCGCGATAGTACGAGACGACGCGAATCTTATCGGCCCTGTGGAACTTCATGTAAGCCTCTAACTCTCGGGCCAGTGTCTGCGGAAAATTATTAGTATGAATCACATATGTCGCGAGTGAATTGAAATGAAAAATTATTATCTGTACCTTATTGTTGCAGGCCTCGACGACGTTATCGAGCTTGTAATTTTTCACGCGCTCGAAAATCTCCGGATGGCTCTTGGCCGGCGATCCGGCCCCGCTTCCGCCGCTGCTCTGCCACAAGAGTTGGAAAATCGCCGACTGCTTTCTCGGAAAATCGTCGTCGTTTTTCGCCGACGCAGCCGCTGATCCACCGCTCGGCCCGACGATAATCGCCACCGATAACGACGCGATGACGATCGCGACCAATCGCCTCATAATTTATTTGTTATTTTTTTTTTGTTTCCAATAATTTTATAACACACATTCGGCTCGCGCGACAGATATATATTTTTTTTAATATACGTATATTTGCGTGCAGTCGTCGTCTCGATCGGCGCGATCCAAGTGATGGCGGAGTGAAAAAACTCGAGACGTTACAGTAATGCCGGACAAAATAAAGTTTGCAGCGTAAAGACGCGTCGTCGACGATAGTGCATCTATCGCTCGCAAATTCTTTCTTTTATCACTCCGTGTTAAGTATTATATGTACATATACGTATGGCCCCCGAAAGATTAAGTTGAGAAAAAATAAGAAGAAGAAGAAGAGTTTGGTCGTTAAAGAAAGTACGCATTTACGAAGGGGGGACGAAAAAGTACACGATTATTTTGTTGAAATTGTTTTTCGTCGCCGGAGCCACTGACATCGGCGCTGCAGCTTCGCGTGGAAATGTTCGACGGCCAGTTCCGCGAAAAAAACTGCAACGGATAGCACGTAACCCGCGAGAAGCAGAACAAAGACGCTCCTGTACGAGTTGTCCCTCAGACTATCCGACAGCACCTTTTTGTCCTCGCCGGAGCTATCGTCGCTCAACTCGGAAGCCTCCTCACGGTACATGTGGTTCCATTTGGCGTCTAATTTCGCCTCCTGGACGCGGCGAATGATTCGATTGAAGCTCGGCGTGTAGGGCGAGCCCTTGCGCAGGCTGAAGGCCCTGTAGGCCGTCCAGAAGCAGGGCTTGGCCTGTTTCGCGCGGTCCGCGTTGCGATTCAGCAGGTACGAGATCCTGTACTGGCCCATGACGCAGCTGACGTTGGCCTGGCCCAGAAGCCAGCCCAAGCACGTGTCCGTGTTCGTGTGCTGGATCGCCTTTCGGCCCAATCTATACGCGCGTGCATATATACACACAGTATATAATATCATGTACATTAGTCAGAAAAGCGATGACGACGATTTAAAGGCGCGATTTCGATCGATGACTCACCGCGCAGATTATACACACACGCGATCGTGCGTATATCACAAGTAATACATCATAATTATGTAAGCATAATATTACAATATCATTAAAATATATATACACCTGTGGAGCGTGGGGTCGTTGCCGGATCTGAAAGTCATGTTCATCAAATTGGGATGTACGAATGGAACGAGGCCCGACTCGTCGAGCTCGCGATACGACTCGAATCTCTTGTACGCGGCCATGTCGAGATTCAGGCTGGTCAGATGGGCGAGCATCGACGAGGAGTAGAACAAACCCACCACCAGGACGCAGCCGAAGATGAGTCGCTCGCGAAGCGTCGTGGCTCGGGCGTATATCGACGAGCCCATCATCAGCTGGGCTATGTCCAGCGGTCGCCAGTACTTGGCCAGCAGCAGAATGGACGTAAGCCAGACCACGACGACGAGGCAGAGGATCACCAGCAGCGACCACTGGATGCCCTTGCTCAGCTGGAAAGTCGGCTTCTTTATCAGAGGTACCAGGCCGCAGATTCGCTCCAACGAGATCCAAGTCGTTCTGTCTGCCTATATACGTATACGTTTTTTAATTTTACACGCGATTTATGTATATGAATCATCGATACGTATGATAAATCATTGCGCTACCAGAAGAGGATGATCGACGTGAAGGAGAAAAGATCCGTAAGCGAAGACGTCCAGGTGGCACTTGGGGAGCGCCACCTCGCCCAGCAGTCCGGTGGCCGAGCCGTTGGCCAGCAGTACGCCGTGATCCGACATCGGCCGGAAATCCATCTCGACGCTGAAATTCAACTTGCGCTGAATCGTCTCGAGCAGCAGCCCGACGAAGCCCGTCATTTTTCGCGACTTCGGGCTGCGCCACGAGTAGGGCGGATGCTCGACGAATCCCACGCGCAGCTTCAGCCCGTGAAAATCGTCCAACTTTTCGGGAAACAGTCTGCTGGACGAGTCGAGGGCTCGATTCGTGTGAGCACGAGCGAAGGGATTGTAGTGGTGTATCGTCGCGGCGTAATCCGTTTCGCGATCGATCATTGTTTTACGGCGCTGCTTCGACGAGACTCTCAATGCGATGCCGATAATCGTCACGTCGACTAATTGCTCTTGCCAGAATTGCTCCAATAAATCCTGGTATCTCGCGGTGAAATCGTTTTTACGATTAAACATTATCAGCAGAACTCGAGTCGGTGCTGGAAAATTCACCGTCAGGCCCTTGAGATCTTCGACGAATTTTACGCCGATGTCGTCGTCCTTCGCCCCGACGTAGAGAAAGAGGCTGTTCGAGTTTTGCAAAAATATCGGCACGCGATCCTTGTCGATATCGATCCAGGCGCAGGCTAGTCGACTCGCGAAACTCGAGTATATCCAATTTTCCAACTCTGCCGTTGACTCGCCACTTTTCTGCTGCTTTTGACGTGCGCCGCCGCGGTTCACCATTAAAACCTGTCGAGAGTAAATCTGATCGATCATCGGCTCTATCGGTAGCAAGTGCCGACTGTAACGCGAATTCCCGAAAACCATTGCGAGCGAGAACAGGAAATAAATTTGAATCCACTTCATCGTACCGACCATTACTTGGACTTGTAGAAAGAGTGAAGAAAAAAATGTCAAAAAGAAAGTGCCGCCGCGGTCGAATCGATTTGCCATAAAAGTGCGTTATTTGCACTTTGATTAGTAAAATGTGTTACGCGGAATCGATCCGTGAGTGGTACGTACCTGTATAATAAATGAGCTCATTAACATAGCGAAGAATCCACATCGGCGCCCTGGACAATATGCTACATGCTCCGATGGCGATCGACCTGGTATTCAATTATGTAATTTCGTCATTGGAAAGCCGAGCTTTGAAAGGTGAAAGATCTTTACATCGCGAGTCACGCATTTTTCTGATAATCGCTAGACAAAAATCTCGGCTTTGATCCAAGTCCAATCGCTTACATATGTATTTTATTATATGTGTGTATACCGTTTGAATTGTCAAGCTCGGCGGTAAAAACCCAGACAGACTCGCGACCAGACAGGACTTGTATTGTAGCGGTAAAAAACCCAACGAAACTGCGCGCCCGAACATGGTACAACAATGGTAATCTTCCCCTGTTCCGATTTCGAAGGCTAGACGTCATGACAAATACCTTCACGCTCGATGCATCAATGCTATATAATTCCGTAACGATAATTTATTTTCACGCTCCGGGAGATATTTGAATACGTTTCACACCGAATATTAATAGGTTTGTCGCGTGTGGTCTATTGATCGGCGGATTTAAATGACACACTTTTAAAACCTGTATTGTACACGGTTTAAAAGACTGAGACGCCGTCTAACGAGCCAGATTATTAGACGAGTCATTCAAATGCACTGACTTTTTAAGTAGAGATTAGTTATTCCTTTATCGGCAACATCGTGTAAAGTTCACACGGTTATACCCTCGCTATTTCCGAGTCTGGAAAAATTTCATTCGCCTTTTTGAAGTATTTCGAGAGGATTCGCAATATGTATTCAAGTGTTCGTTAATTTTTCAGCAGTAATATTATTAAGAATAAAAAAGATTATATTGTAGTAAAATAAATGTGAATGAATAAAGTGTCAACGAGGTTTGTTAAATTATTGATTAATCCATTATCAAAGATAAGCATCGGCGTCGAAGGTGTGCAGCTCACTTTTTCCTCTCTCGATTCTTTTTTTTTTTTCCAAGCGAGCCGAAATTTCAAAATCATCGCTCGCTCGACGAATTATTATTACTCATATAGAGCCGCGCGGCACGTTTCGGGTATCTCTGTCGCGTAAAAGGAAAAACTGGTAGCTACTGGAAACAATTCCGTTGCAACTGGAGTTTCGGTGGGAGATTACGAATTCTCCTCTATACGTTCGAGTCCATGTAGATTATGATAATGGACGTGAAGAAAAAAAACTTGTTTTTTCTTTTTTGGGTTCGCGCTATCTATTAAAAGATTTGTTGAAAAAAAAAGGCAACGAACGAGGCCTTACGAAACCGAGGATGGTCCGCGTGCGATCGTGCAGCGCGCGAAGACAATGCCGCAGCGCGGATATGTGGAACGGGTTCCGTGTATTCTCGCGCCTCGCGATTACAATTGTGTTTATACACGTAAAAATAAGCGACACTGTATGTATACGCATACTCGCTCTTGTTTTATATTATTTTTAAACGAGCCAACAACTGTAGGGAGTGCATAAATTAACCGGCAATCGTACACATATAGGCGGTGGAAACTGCCGGGCCACCCGAGCTCGATAAAAAGCTCGATACTCGCCGCACTCGTCTTTCACTCGCTCGTGCTATTGAGCAAGAAACATTATAACGATTATTTCGCACCCCCTCTTGTAGCCATTCGTATTAATTGCAATTGCGAGCCCGAGGGCATCGAGCGACTTTTGCGCGTGCGATGCTCGAGTATTTCGTCTTAAAATTAGAGTGTTACGCGGATTTACGAAATGCCGTGGCATTAAGTACGCCGCAAGTTTACTTACTTACATGTACCGGTCAATTATAAGAGCCACGCGGGGCGCTGATAAGGGGGCGGCTCGCGAGCGATAGCGCGTACGACGCGGATCCGTGATGTATATAATTGACAAATTCAGCCATCCCAGAGTCCGTCCTGTCTGCACGTGGATACGAAGCAAATGCAAAGCTCGCATTATAATGAACGCGCGATTCGCAATTTTTCGTTTTACGCGTACGAGACGTCCGCGTGTACGTAAGAAAACTTAGATCTATCTCGGCCGCGCGTACATGTGTATTATATCAGCCCGGATAAGATAAACGCGAATTCGACGAGAGATGCAAGACGTGCACGAGTGTATGTTATTAATAATGTTTATTAATGCTTATAAATATTCTCTCGCGGATCGCAGTGTAAGCGAGCGGTACTGCACGCCGAGAGAGAGAGAGCCAATATATCGATACATTTTTTTCGTCTCCCCTTCTCGTCTTCTTCCTGTTCGTTTCTTTCTTATTCTTAATGCTTTATTTAACGATATTTTATTCAAATTTAACGTACGACGTTGGCGCAAAAAAAAAGTCTTTCATCCTAGGCGCGTGTCGCGATCTCTGCAGCGCGATCACCTATCGCCGCGCGCGGCATGACTCAACGAGTTACGCGTGCCGTTATCATGAAGTAGCTGTTTGAACAACGTTTCGTCTTATATGATGTCAAACATTATTTTCTGTAATTCTCGCCAAGTGTAATGAACTACGCATGTCCTAGTTCAAGAAACTTATTTGGATGTGTGTCGATCGCGTGCCCCCGGATAGGCAGGCACACGATGGGAAGGGGTACTCAAACCTGATGTAATAGGAAGTTGAAGTTTGGTCACGTACCAGATCATCTCCCTGATCGCGTCCATAAAGGCCTATGATATATGTTATATTGATACAAACTACGTCATGGCCCGATGCGATTATAATATATACGGCGCACATGTGTGTGTATATATATCGTTTAATCCGTTGATCAGGCGATGTATAAAATATAACGCAGAGAGCGTGGCCCGAGGGGCTGTTCAACTTTTTCGGCAGATTGCCAAATTTCTTTAATCTTCGCACGTTTCGCGCGTACATGTGTATAAATATTGTAAAATTTTGTATTCGCTCGTGAGTGCGTGTGATATATTACAGGCTTAAGGGGAGGGAGAAGATGCGAACGAGTTGCATTATTATTATATATACACTCGACTCTATCTCCTTCGCGTCTGCGTCCGCGCGTACGAGCCTCTGAGCACGTGCAGCGGTACATTATATACACACTGTGTATACGCGCGATCGTGTGTAAATACTGTAATGTATCCAATGACATGTGTGCGTATAGTCGTGCGTGGGTGTGCGCGCACAGACACGTTCGAGCTCGTACGATCGCGGCTTTTTTCCATCGTGGGTACGAGCATGATGTAAATTAAAACACCCGTGACGAATTCTATGGCCGTCGCCGAGGGGGCAGGCAAACTTATCAGCGCGTTGGCGAATCTTGAGGATACACTCGCGTCATCGGAGGAAAATTAGTAAGGAAATCAAAGAATAAAACCAGAAATGTCTCGGTGAAATGTCAGGTCGCGCTTGTGATATGTACGCATCAACTTGACAGACGAGCCTCGTGAGATATATACACTATAAAGAAAGATATATGTGTATCTTTCCTATCGGCCACACACAAATAATTGTCAACGTCTAGGCGATAACTTGTTGGAAATTTTTCAAACTAAAGCGCCAAAATAAGAATAGACATATTTTTTGCTATTTTCGAAATATTTGGGGGGGGNNNNGGGGGGGGGGGGGGGAGAGAGAAGACTTTGAGAATTAGGACATTCGCCACGAGGTGTCCCCGCATCCCCATGTGCGCGAGATCGAATCGAGTCCAATATTTGATGTGACTCACTGATATGCTAATTCACGTCGTTTTTTTTCTCGGTAAAAAATCACGCAACGCGTTTGACTTTAAAAAGACGCGCTCTTATAAGCGCATTATATTCCTCGCGATCTCGAGCAAACGCGCGCGACCGAGTGAGAAAAAGAGAGAGAGACCCCCAAGGCTCTATCGAGAGATGATGATGATGATGATGATGCCGTTGGTACGTGTGAGTGAGCGCGTATCTACACACAAGTAGAGCAGCATAAGACGATCGAGAGAGGCTCGACCCGATGCTCGACGCTGCTAGCGCTGCTGCTGCGCGGCGATTCGATTTCGATCGTGCGCCGATTAACGAGAAAATCACGGCGATCTCCCACCCGTGAAGGCATCCGTATTATAATTACTAATATCGGTCGAGGGAAACGCGATGCCACACATACCCGGCCAATAGCATCATTTTCGACAAAGCGCCAAAGCCAATGAATGAGAAAATCAATGAGCCGGACGAAAATTATCTTTCTTTTTCGCCTCATTTTCACAATAGACATTCCAATTTGTGTTCGGACAAAGAGATCGATGACGATGCCTCATTCAATATAGACGAAAAAAAAAAGAGAAAGTTTTTTGCCCCATTCAAAAATGCCATCCACCCGCGAAGGAAAATAAAAATTCGCCTACTTCTCTCGAGTGTATGCGCGCGAGCGATCGCGATTGGAGACGGTTCCGCGCGCGCGACGACGACGACGACGGCGGCGGCAACGGCGGCGATATAGTAAACGCGTCGCGCGCAAGAGATACACTGCGAGTGTAAAAGAGAGAGAGAGAAAGAGAGAGGGAGAGAGAAAAAAGATTGGCGAGCTATGAGTTATTATAAAAGAAGAGCGTCCCATTCGAAGATGAACCAGTGTATATCGATACTCGCGAGACCGCGAACAGCTTACAATTTATAACTGCTCTTGGATACAGAGAAGCGGGAGCACATGTACCGCGACAAGTAGTCGTATCGTTTATATATCGAGGAAAATCATTGATATAATCGTTTACTGATTAGAAAAAAAAAAGAAGAAGAACGCATAGAAACACAAAAGTTTTACAAAGTGTTGATATATATATATTTTTTTTTATTACAACTGTGTGCCAATTTCAATTGTGGTTTTGATCATGGCAACCATGAACTATTACATCGTTACAGTTTGCTTTGTGTAAGTGTGCAATATCATTACTTCTTTTTACAACTGTCAATTTACATAAATGGTGCGGTGCATGTAGTTTTGAGAGTACATAATGTAACATGTATTCCGAGAGTAATTTTCAAAGTGAGACTTGACAATTGCTCTTTTCTCTCTTTCCTTCTCTCTCTTTCTGAAATAATTTCGTCAATTAAGGTAAAGCAATATGCATTAGTAAAATTAAGGAAATTAATGGTTTTTCTAACTTTATGGAGATCATATTTCAATTTAATTTATTAATATTTTCTTTTTTTAATCCTATATCATTGATGGAATTAAGTTATTTTAACAAATCTCAACCTCGTCCGAGATTTAATTTTAATTTGACGCTGACAGATATTTTGGATAGATCATAAATTTCCAAAGAAACTTGAAAATGTATAAGCACGCTTGTGGCTGTATTTATAAATTTTCTCATGTGTATTTATAATAAAACTTTAAAATCCAGTACGTAAAACTCAATCAGGATTTTTCGGTGGAAATGAAAAGAAAAAAAAAGTTTTACACAAAATTGATGGAATACCACGTGAGTGTATCAAAAAAAAAAAAAAAAAACTTTAACGAATTTACATTCGGAACTGGGCTTTTAAAATTATTTTAATTAAAATTTACCCGAGCGTGTACGGTTACGATAAATTTTCCAGCAAATTAAGATCGCGATGACATTTTGTGATTCACTCATTACGATTGATTTTTTTTTATTGCACGCGAATTATTTTATCGATTGAACGAAATTGCACTCGCTGGAACGGACGAGACTTTTACACGCATACAATTTTACAAATGTACGTGCAACAGTTGCACATTTTACGAGTGCCATTGCGTAAGACAACTGCACTTCGAGTGCTACGTGAAAATTTGATACTGGTTTTCCGCTTGTTTTATTTTTTTGTAATTTATCGAATAATTATTCAATTTAGTCTTAAGCTCGCGCAAGCGTTCGAGCAAGGGCATTTTTTCGAGTCGATAATAAATTATCATACGAATCGAATGCGAGTAGTCCCAAGGAAATCGAGGTGCATAGCATTAACGGAGGTCCTCCTCATCGATATCAGCCGCGAAGAAAACGATTAGATAATCAAAGCACACCATGATATCATAACGCGTATAAACTCGGCGATACTATACATCATCGCGTACGCAGATCATTAGCGAATTAATCATTTAGCGTAAAACTCGCATGCAATATTACACATAATAATATTAATACGTCATTGCTCGCACGCGATCTCTCGGCACTGCCGACATGATAGATAAATGGATTTCGCGTGCTAAGCCATATAATGTGCAGATACATAAAGTCAAACGCGCGCGTATTCAATGTGCAAAAACCCATTAGATCGAGAAATCGTCCAAGGAAACGTCAATCGCCAGATGAAGTGATTAAAATTTTCCACAATACTTTAAATCGTGTTAATTTTGAGGAGAAAATTAGCCTCGTGTATCGGAAGTTTTTTTAACCGATCGATTGATATCTACTATTCGCAGAAGATCGTAGTCTAGACGCACACTTTCTCAAAACCAATTGCTCCGTACCTTTTATCATGAAATAAAAAAAAAGATTTCATCTACCATCATCGATGTATGTGATTGTTGCAATCAGTCAATGTGAATCTCTTAACATGATTTTTTTTGTCTGTTATCGACTTTCTTTAGGCTAATTCATGGCTTGGCACCGACGACGATGGTTAACGCAAGGTCATCGATGCGACAAGAGAAGCAGCAGCACAATCAGCGATCGAGTTCGAATTTCTATTATGTCTCGTCTGACCTTTACGAGACTACGTGCGCGAACGAGCATTGCAACGAAGTCGGTACGTAAAACGACTTTTCCTCCTTTATGTATAGAATGCAAGCCGAGAATCTCTTCCAATAGAATGTGTTGATCTTCAAGGGAAGAGGCAAAAAAGATTTATAATTACGACAAGCTAAATATAGAGATCGATAATGCACGTGTGTATGTGTGCGTGTGTGTTTTTGCATTGTATTTTTGATATGCATCGAAATCAGGAGACACGAGACGCGCATACACGCAGACACACACACAATCGAAAATTTTTTGTCAACTCGAGCTATATGTATGCGCGATATGAAACTTTTGTTTGCAGAATTAGCCCCACTATTTCAGACTTAATAATAATAATCAACTAATTGCGAGATTTTTACGACCTTGAAGTAGAGATACACAAAAACATTGGGGATTAGATATAGCGCTTGTTTTCAAACTTTCAGAGCCATTTTTACACAATAAAAAAAAAATCAATATAGAACAAAATAGAGCTAGCTGGCCAATTTATTTATGTCGTTATTTTTCTTTTTCATCTAGCCGAGGAGTTTTTAAAAAGCGTGAAGAAAACCGTCGACCCGTGCTCGGACTTTTACGCCTACTCTTGCGCTAGAAAATCGTCCAAGCTTCGCACGTCTGATATTACCGAGATGAAAGGTATGTATTGCAAATGAAGCATTGTATTACATTTCGGTTCTTTTTCACTCTGTGAAAAGATTAATCGGAGACCGATTGTGGAACTAATGAAAAAAAAAAAAAAAATCGAGATAAAAGAGTTGAAACTAAAAGTTTACAAACGATCCGGGATGCTGCTCTGCTAAATCATCATAATACACCATTAATAGTAATAATGTTTTGACATCTTTGACGCACATTGATCATCCGATTATAGAAAATTCTCGTCTCTCTAAACATTAAGTACGAAAATTCGATTAAAATTTGTATTTAATCTTATTCTTTTTTCTCTCTCCCCCTTTCTCGCAACACAGAAATCTTGGAATCGCCGCACAGCGAGGAGGAAATCAAAGCATTGACGTTGGAGAAAATCTTTTATCGCAGCTGCATGGAGCAAAGTAAGTCTACACTTGTAAATTCTATCTTTTATTTTTTTTTTTTGTACCACATAAATCAAATCAAATTTATACATGTAATTCTCAGCAAAAACTAATTGACGTAAATTGAGCATAATCCACGCGCGCGTTTTATAAAAGTTGCGAAAGTTTATTTTTCTGTGCTACTGTAAGATTTTTCGAAAAAAATTATCTTATCTCCTCTGGCAGCCTCTCGTGCGCGCGTAGTATTAATGTTATACTTGAATGTATTGGTCGTGTGTGTTGGCGCGTGCAAATCTCATCATGTACCTCATTCGATGTTGCTGCTTATTAATTACGCAAATCTCGGTTATGATTCAGATATTAATCGGTTTTTTTTTTTGAAAGCGATAACAATGTATTTATTTTTTCAATATTATTATTGTCGTCTCTTTGTATACATCGGATAAGCCGAATTAAACACGAGATCATTTATCAGTGGTACTCATGCGATCGTGGTATTTTTATTACCTTTTGCAGCTGACTCCGATACTAGGGCCAAGAAAAAACTCAAACAGTTCTTGAATCTGTCCAACGGCTACAGCCTCTTCAAGCACGGCAAGTACGGCGCCGTCGACTGGCTCACCATCGACGCGCTTTACGCCCAGCTCGGCTTCGAGCATGCCTTCTTCAATGCCCACGTCATGAAGGACCCTGAGAATCTCGAAAATAACATCATGGCCCTGACGCCGCCCTCGCCGCTCTTCACCATTACCATTCACTCGCTGCTGAAGAATCGCAATTTCAGCGAGATGATCATGAATCTGCTGGACAAAAATCATAAAGGCAACCTCGAGGACTTTAACGACGTCATTGCGTTCAACAACGAGCTTCACGGAATTTTGCCGGCTCTTGCCCAGTTCGAGGAGAGCATCAAAACTATGATCGAGAATAAGATGTACATCGAGAACTGGCAAAGATCTTACGACTCGAGCGCCGAGTTGCAGGACGATGGAAAGACCAATCACGTAAGTTTCATTTTTATTTAAATTTTGCAACCGATCCAAACAAGATCATCGTTAATAACGTTATATTGAAATTTGTAGATCGACTGGTTGAGGGTACTAAACAAATTTACCAAATCAGCCAGAGTTCACATGCACAAATCTGACAAAATCATAGTGAGGAACGTCGCCTACTTCCACAAGCTCGCGGGGCTTTTGGAAAAAACGCCTGCCTCCGTTTTGGAAAAATACATCCACATCAAGTTCATTGCTCAAGTTGGCAAATACCTCAGTCCCAGTCTGGCCAAATTTTTCGAGAACTTCAAAAACAGATCGAAATTCTGCATCAGGCAAGCCGAAAATCGCCTCGTAGGCGCCAACTACGAGTTCATCAAGAGACATGTGCCGAAAGATCGTAAAGCTCTCGTAAGTTCTCGATAACAATATCATCGGCAATGACAATTTTTTTAAAATTAAAAATGAATAAAAATATTATGATAATTTGCAGGCCGAGGAAATAGCCGTGAACGTGAAAAAGTCGCTGATTCAATTGATATCGCGAGCCGACTGGATGGACCAACCAACCAAGACTCACGCCGTTGATAAACTCCATAAACTTCAAATCATCATGGGATACCCAGATTGGCAGTTGGATACTGATTTCGTTAACAATTATTATGGAAATGTAAGTATTGGCAAAGAAAATCGATATCAGTAACAATATTGATTATTTGAGATATTAATTATTTGATTGATTGCTGCAGCTTCATTTGGGATCAAACTTCTTCGACAACGTCATCAAGTACAAAAGACAGGCTCTTTTGCACGAAGTGCAAGGCTTGAGAAATCCTAAAAAGTTTGACCCTGCTACGATGTCGAAAAATCACGCTCCATTGGTACATCATTTCGAAATCAACACCCACCTCAATCTTGTCTGTGAGTATTCGCAATTTACGTCATATATTTCTAGATTATCAATTTCAACATTCGTCTCAACATGTCCGTATCCGATTGTTTCACCAGACTTACCCACTGCATATCTTCATCAAAAGAAAAACAAATTTTTGGGCAGTCAATTGCCGAACTCGATCAATTACGGCAGTTTCGGCTCGATGATCGGCGCCATCCTCTACGACTTCGCCAGTCTCACCGACACGCTCAAGTACAATCTGTATCTGCGCACCGTCGAGGGCCTGACCAAGCAGACGATCGACGCCTACCGCGTCAAAGAGAAGTGCCTGTCCAATCAGCTGACCGATTACAAAAAGTCCGATCGCGGCTACAATCCCTTGTCCGACATTATCGGTCAGGACACGGTGCAGGTGGACAAGATCTACGAGAAACAGACGGGTCTGAGGGCGGCCTTCGAGGCCTTCAGCGAGAGCTTGGCCAGTGGCGACAAGACGGAGCAACTGCTGCCCGGATTCGAGAAAGTCAATCCACATCAGCTTTTCTACTTGGCCTACGCCGAGGTAAAGATACATTTTTTGTTAAACGTACGAATTGTACAATCGCTTTAAAAAATCAACGACGATCACTAATACGAAACCAAACATTTTTTTTCCTCAGAGGATATGTGGCATCGGCGACGTTTACGACAGCTACGATGGCTACGAGACGTCGTCCAAGATCAACGGAGTCATGACGAATCTGCAGCTGTTCAGCGACGTCTACCAATGTCCCAGAGACAGTCCGATGAATCGACTCGAGAAGTGCGAGCTGTTCACGTGACATGCCTAGACCATCTCGATAGACTATAATAGTAAATATAAATAGATAGAGCTTCCATTACATGACGTAACACGTTAAGAGAATAGACTTTTGAAATGGTCGCCTCAAGTGTTAGTTTAGCCAATATGTTTTTGTTATTTTTTATTCGACGTTTTTAGTTTTATATGTTTAAAACAATATCGACTAACGAAAGAAAGTATTTTTTATGTATATCGAACTAATAATTTTTAATAGTTCCTAAACATGTACATTTTGTATTAGCATTAATAGTTTGTAACTTGCGTCAGAATCGTTGCGCAGTTTAGAACAACGATGTAAAAAAAAAAAATGAAGAAGAAGGAGGAAATGACAAAGGAGTCAAGCGATTGATTTCTTAGCAATAGTAGTTCAATGCATTCAAGTCGAAAGAAAAGAAAAGAGAGAGAGAGAAGTAAAGATATATGTAAATAAATATGCTATATGCGTTGTTGATATTGTGACGCATATGATAATGGACAGCGCGTGTGCTGTTCGACCAATGTGACTTTGTGTATCACGTACTATATAGAAATCCAAAGATCGGATCAGAAATTTGATCAGATTAATAATTATTTAATTAAGACATGTACTTAAAGACTGTTATAGTATAAGTACATTTTTGCATGTAGACCGTTATTGTTTACTTGGGTGGATTATGATTCACGCATTCTGTATTTCGTAGAAAAATATTTATGAAAAAATTTCGAAAGAGAAAAAAAAATTGTTATTAAAATCTATGAAAATGAAAAGCAACATAACTTTGTATTTTTCAATCGTTAACCTAATATTCTTATCGATTACCCGTTACGTGCGTCCCTCGTTTCTAAACTTAACCTGTTTTGATTTGTAAACAATCGACCTAAAAAGCATCCGTTCGAGCCAACGCCATCATGATCATGGTCGAAGCAGCGGTATCGTCGTATTCGAAAAATTCCTCGTGCAATCGCCATCGTTCTCGGCGTCGTCATGCCTAAACCCAGCCGTCTTATTTTATCATGGAGTACGAGCGCATCAGGCGTCTCTTGCGCTCGGAGTACAAAGACTTTGGCCGGGCCGGCGAGCAGGTGCTGGTCGAGTCTCGCTTCGCCGAGACGACGCGCAGCGGTCGGGGCCTGCGCGCCGTCGAGCTCGGTCTGACCTCCAACAACCTCATCGTCGCCGCCGACAATTTTCGCGATGCCAAGTACTGGTGCTCCAAGGACTGCGACCCGAGCATCGAGAGTCTCGAGCTCGTCAGTGTCTATCCCTTGGAGTTTCTCAGTCTCAGTATATTTCGACGCAAGCGGAGAAAAGCTCTGAAAGCGAGGTGAGCTCGCGAGCACTGGATGTTTCAAAGGTACCAAAAATTTTTGGTTTTTTTTTGTGCCTCGAACGAATGCAGATTAGTCGACGGTCGGGCCAAGTATTACGAGCTCGGCGGTCCCGGTCTGCGTCGAAGCGCTGCCTGGTCCCGTTGGTGCGCCCAAGTGGCCAATTTGCTGGAGCGCCGCTGCCCAAGCTGCACCAACGTAGCCAGCGGTGGTAGTACATCCTCGAAATTCGAGTGCGCCCATCGTCGTGGAGCTACCGGGGGTGGAGGTGAAAAGGATGTCAAACGTTGCGCCGGTGGAGGTGCTGCCGTGGCTGGCGAGGATCGTCGTCGTCCCAAGCGGGCTTGCGATTGGACGCGAGATCTCTTCCTCGGCGAGTCGCACCAAGAGCTCACCAACGGCAGCTACACCATCGTACCGTTCAGCTTCTCCAATGCCACCTTGCAGGAGATCAAGTTCGTTGTGTGACTTTTTCAAAATTGAGGAGCTCGACCGTTGGAAAGTCGGTAAAACAGCAAAGGAGCAGGAGGCTAAACTGTTTTACCGACCGAAACCAAATGCGACCTTAATCGTAGATTCGCTCTAAATATAGGCAAGCAGTAGACGACAGTCGGCTCGGACGCGACTCTAAACGACGACAACAACGCGCGAGTCACCGTGGCCGCTGCAACGTTATATTTACTCGCTCGGTCGATCGATTTCACGCGGACGAGCGACTATTAGCCGAGGCGGCGAAAAACGCGTCACGCTGTTGTCGTCCGCGACAAAAATTGCCCAATCACGGCTGCTGCTGCTGCTCGGCCGAAAACAAGAGCTCGTCGAGAGACGAAGAGGGTCGTCGCGGTCTCGGCTGCCCAGATTCGTCGGATTTGGTCGCGTCGTCCGGCCGCGACGACGATAGTAATAACAACAGGCGGCCCAGACGACGTCCGCGTCATCGTGGCTCGACGTCGTCGCCGACTGCGAATTCGCGGAAAAACGTCGAGGTCGCCGAGACCGTCAAGGCCGCCGCCGCGAAATTGATACGCAAACGGTCGTCGCGTCCGGACTGCCTCGGTGTCGTCGATCAGAGAGATAAATCGCGTACGCGTCTGGAGTTTCCCCCCGACGTGGCAGCAGCATCAGCAGCAGCCAGACGTTACATTTCCGTTGATACGTCGCCGATGATTAACTTGATCGAGAGCGGCGTGTCTGTCTGGGAAAAGGCTAATAAAAACAATCGCGATCGCTCGCCGCGTAAGGTATGTTATATTTATATAACAGAATCGGATCGGTATGCCACGCTGAATTACGTCCTCTCTCTCTCTCGGGCAGCTACTACGCGGCTACTATGGCCTGTCGACGGCCACCTACTTCTTGTACGCCCTCGGGCCTTGGTCGGTGCAGCCGGGCGATCGTCCGAGCGTCCAGTGCCTCGAGCGCTCGCACAGCTGCGCCAGCATCCGCTGCCAGCCGATCGATCCGGATCTGCGGCTTCCGGTCTCGCGCAGACAGCTCGTCGCCAGCGTCTCGCTGGCCGACCTCTCGGGCCGAGAGACCACCGGCTTGACGGCCTCGACCCGCGGCAAGGTCGTGCTCTTTTGGACGCCCAATTACTGGTACAGGCCGAGGGCCGCCACGGACGCGTATCGCGAGATAAGGTGTCATCTCGACGGATTGACGGATTACACGAGGACGAACTACGAGTCGGCGGCGACGACGATCGACGGAAGGCGGAAGTCGACCAGCCGAGTTATTTTTGGGAGGGCGCGCGAGAGACGACGCGTCGAGATGTTCCAAATCAGCCAGACTGATTCGAGCCAGGTAAGTTTAGATCGGAACTCTTTTCTCGGAAGTGTATGGAGCTGTTACGAAAAATTCGATTGCAGAGCAGCGACAGGAACGTAAGCGAGACATCTGGAACTAATTCCGAGATCTGTCGAGCTCCGACTAAGACCCGCGATCCATCGGTGGCCAGCACGACGGCTTATTTGCGCCATTTGCTGCGTCTCGATTATCGAGTCACTCTGAGGGACGTCGATAGCGCGACTCTGGCCTCGCAATTGACCCTCGTCGATCGCGAGCTGTTTTTGCGCGTACCGAGGCGCGAACTTCACACCGTGGCCGGTCAACGTTCCTCGCGCGATGCCCCGAATCTCGGCGCCTGGATCGCCTTCGCCCATCGGGTCTCGTGCTTGACGGCCAGCGAGGTGCTCGCCGCGGACCGCGTCGAGACTCGTGCTCGACTCTGCGCGAGACTGTTGAGCGCCGCCGATCGCTGCCTCGAGATGGGCAATTTTCAGTCGGCCAGATCGATCGTGGCTGGCTTGCAATCGCCGGCCATCTATAGGTGGGTTCGAGGTTTCGTATGCAAAGTAAAAAAGAAAACTGATCATAAGTTTCGTTCTTTCACTATCTATGTATTTGTTCTTATTTACAATGATGGAGAAAATTTGACTTTTTTTTAAAAAAATGCCTCCCGTCTTTGAATCCGCAAACAAACCGGCAACGAATTGTTGCTCCTCGGCTGTAGCGAATCTCTCAATTCGTAACACTCGGCGTCCCTGTGTAAAAATAAAAAATGTACATTAATCGATAAAACTTGGCCAACAGATTGAGATCAACCTGGGCGTACTTGAAAGCTCATCATTACCCGGCGTACGAACAAATGATAAAACTAAGCACAATATTTGAAAGTACGAGAACAAAAATGTACCGGCAGACGTGGACAATGGCCGAGCGCAATCCACCCTCGATGCCCTTCGTTGGCGACATTCTGGCGAGGTTGCTTGGCCTCGAGCGACGGCAATGCGTAGCACGACACAATGAAGCGAGGACGATTTCACACAAGGACGTGACAAAAAAGCACAGGAGAAAACATAATAAGCTCGAGAGGTAATGTCCTCGTTAACGGAGTAACGAGGCTGTTATGTAACGCAGTAAATATTTTTATAAATAGACGCAGCTCGTCGACGAGCCATCGATCCGGATCGACGTCGATGCGCGAGCTTTTGTCGGGAAATAAATTAAATCGCGACGAGTATGGACGAGTATCGGCTCTGGGCTCGTGGCTGGAGCAGAGACAATTATCGGCTCGCTCGTACAATTTTCCCGGCCAATCGTTAGCTTGGACTTTCTTGCTGAAGGCCAGGTACCGAGAGGAGAGAGACAACTTTTTCGCAAGCCTGCAGCTTGAGCCAGCTGTTTAGATGAGTGAATGAATACTACTTCGCTTGCAATTAGTTCAAAATTGTTTAATTTTTTTTTTCGTTTTCAATGTATTATTATATTTATTCAGACATGAGAACGTGTATTTGATAAATCCAGTAATTTCGCCGCAGTAAAGTTTAAAACTTGTATTTATTTTTTCATTATTCATAAGATCAGAGAGAACGATAAAACAAAATATACTCACTCTTATGCTCTGTTGTAGGTAAAAGTTTGTACATCTATGTAATTTTTACGGTATAATCTACAGTTAAATATTAATCGTTCTGATAAAAACTAATCGTCATCGTGAAGTGGTGGAATCATAATGACAAGATCACATCGTCTATATAATTATGTTGTTGTTTTCCATTATTTATACACATATTATCCTTTTTATTCAATTAATCGACATTTATCCAACGAACCATTTTTATGCTGTAGTTTACAATTAATTTGTTAACGACTTTCATTTATATAAAATATACATGTACGTTGCATTGACGTGCCAACATTTATTTTTTTTGTATTTGTTTACATTAAAATGAGCGATAATCTCTTTAAAAGAGAAAAAAATATCTTCCGATTACTACGTCATTTTCTGTTTAGTCTATACACTCGACAAAATTATTAATAATCTTTAGTTTTCGCATGTTTAAATGTTGGTCTTGTTTTTTTCTTTTTCTTTTTTTTTGAATCTTGACTAGACGAAAATGTACACATTACACAGATATATTACAACACTAATTTCCTAGGCTATATCGGTAAGTATTTACTTTGCATTGTCAACAGTGCGCAAGAATCAGTAAAGCTTTTGAATTCGAGAGATTTAATAATAATAATATTACCAAAAGCCATGCAGCAGACACAACAAATATAAGATGCCTCACATTCATTGGCCAAATGTCGCTTATGAAAAGCAATAAATTTTGTTCTAAACTTCTTTTGTAAGAAACGTATTCATAAATGTAATCGCGTTTAAAAATAAAATAAAAAGAAATAAAGTAAGATAAAAGACCGAGTCCAAAGAAAAGTTTATATGATTTACTTTATATGGTTGAATGTATCTCAACGGGAGATAAAATGCGCATTGAATTACAGAGTATGTATATTTATAGATTAATCGTTAAATGTCTTACATGTCATCGTTTTTTTAATGTAATATATGGTCCGCACAGCGGTACATATCATGCACATTTTATTGAATCAAGAGCTTAGCTGTGACCCGTAATTTGAAAACGAAAACGATAAAACACGTACATTTATATTTAATTCGGAAGCGCATCGACATTTACAATAATACACTTTTTTTGTTTTCTTTTGAGGTAGCGTCTTGTTTTCATTCAAGCTCTGTAATTTAATTAATCTTACTTTTTTTCAGTAGAAAAATTTTGAATTCAAGTCAAGTAGAAAAGCTAAAATTTGAATTCGACGAGATGAGATGATAGCAATAAAAAAATGTTTAACTCTCACAGGAGGAATAATATAATTTTTGCGTTATGTTAATTCAGTTTAAATTTGATTTTTATTTAACGACAATAAGTTCGGCGGTTAAATCTGTATGTTATCGAAGACTTTGGAAGAAAAACAAATGATCTTTTCTTCCGATTATCGTAATTACTTTTAATATTTACAGGCAAATTCGTCTGCCCTGCGCAGAGGAAAATTTTACTTTCAATTAGTTAACGATGGTTAAAAACACAATATAGGGACACGTGAAATATTATCGATTTTGATGTGTTCTTTTATATTACTATTCGTTTCGCAACGTTCGTAAAAATAAATAGCCTTCAAATAGAAGAGGATATAATTTAAGAACACAAACGTGCGCCTTTAAAAGGCAATAGCATTGAAAGATAATATAACGCGTGCTTATCTGTAGAGAAAAAAATACTACGCAATTTTTAATTTTTGAATACGTTATTGTAACATAAACAAGAGCGAACTTAATAACAATTCATCGTTTTCAGCTGTATATTTACAAAGTACAAACTCATGATATATTGTTTTTTCGGCTTTTCTTATTTTACTTAAAAAATAAAAGTTTCTAACTCATTGAGATATCTATGAGTTTTTTTTGTACAGACCATAACTGCTAAAAATTGTGTAGCTAATAATTACGATGAAAAAATTATACATAGCAAATGTTATCACACTTCTCACGTGTAAGTATCATCTTAAATCTTACGAAAGCTAAAAAATTTACATTATCCATTGTTCATATACGACAAGACAGAAAAACATTACATGCACACACATTTAATACACATCCAGAGTAGATGAGAACGAGTCGACTTTCTTCTTCTTTTTCTTTGGTGTCAGCTGGCCACCTCCGTATGCACTGTGCTCGTCGACAGGCCGATGCTCGAGACCCGGGCGAATCGAGCTCGACACCACTCTAGGGCCGCCGAATTTACATGCCACCTGGCTTGGGCAAATTCGTGTTGTAAGCCCGGATCACGTCGGTCTGAGACACTGTACCTCCTTCCTCTTGAGAAAACGCGAAGCCGTCTATCGGTGCGGATAATATCAAAATTTTTCAAGATTAGTTATTTCACTTTTAGCCATTTTTTAAAGGATAAAAAAACCAGGACTTTTGGGTAGATAAAGATCGGTGCTGTTTGGTATAGTATAAATAGTGTAAATGAAAATGGACTGTCTAACGTCATTATTAGTAGAAAACTAAGAAATCATGCACCGGGTGTTAACGGCGTGACCTGGACTCATTGTATATTGGTCCAATATAGATTGCGTATTCGTACACTATACACCTTTTAAGTTTGCAATTCGAACACCAATAAAAGTTATGTAAAAAAGAAAAGTTATATCAATCGCAGTAATAATTGTTATAATTAGCAATAATTTGATAAAATTATATTATGCTTGCGTTAAAGAGAATTGAAGCAATTTTTTCAAGCTTTGTTGTATTTTGTGTACTGCAGCAAAAGTGATTACAAATTTTTTACATTATAATACTTTTTGATACACGTTTTGTGCGAATACACGTATGAATTACTCAACAATTTTCGCACAAGTTACAATCGACTTTCGATTGCATGACGGGAGAAAATAAAAATAAAATTAGTCACACAAAGTAAATCAACACACAAACGCACGTACACACTTGAAAACTTCAGGAAATCGAATAATGGGGTTGAAAATGAGATTTAAAAAGGGTATAATGAACAGGGAGTGGACGAGGAAAATTTAACGAGTCCTTGTTTAAACTGTTCCATGAGTCAACATTAGTTTTGTACAGTTGAAAAAGGACGTGGAGTTCGCAAAAAACAAAAAAATATTCGAGCTAAAAACGGAGAGAGATATCAAGTGTTGTTTTGTTGCCATAGGAGGACTTACGTGATAGCTCCACCTCAACATTAACTCTGGTAGCGGCGTGCGAACGCCTGGTGAATACGCTTTTAACATTTTTCAGTAGCCGCGCAGTCTCCGTCAATCTGTAATTCATCGCATAATGCGAACACACATTTCCAAACTCTCAGTTTTTAATTTTTTTTAAATTTTTTTTTAATTTTTATGATTTTATGCTATTTCTTTCTTTTTTTATCATAACCGGTTTTTTTCATATTTTTTATTAACAGCAGAAAAATATTGCTTTCCACCCGTGCGTGTTTTTAAAGGCTTTGAATCTCATCGTGACTCACGAAAACCGTGTATTTTATGCACACGTGCATAGATGAAACTTTATCGTTCGCTAGCGCTTTATTACGGATCGTATTTGGTTTAATGTTAAAATAACTGCGTATGGAAAATCGATTCAACGGATTTTCTCTTGCAGAAGAATATGATAGATAAAAAATTGGTATAAGTTGGATATTAGGTTGATCTACTACTCGGGAAACCAATAAGTTGTGCCTATATGAAATGTAACATGCGGGAGATGTAGCACACACTTCGAAACAGCGAAAAAAATATGTAACATTATTTCTCATTGATCCAGTCGTAAAAGAATAAATATGTTTGCATTACTCTTTTATTAAAATGAAGTGGTAAGAAATCAGACATTATTGAAACACAGACAAATCACCAAACGTCAGTATAGTTGATAAGATTCTCATAATCGACGGTATAACAATGTATAAAATATAATTGTTGCAACGAATGATATATAAAACATCGATATTTAAAAATATAGCCACGCATTTCTTAAGCCAAAAAATGCTAAGACAGCATTTACACAAGTTTTATACATAATTAATCAAAAAGCATAAAAACATATCAACGATAAGCATTAAATTTTTGAAACCAAAAAAAATTGTGATTATGCAATCGTCGTGGTTATAGACAAACGATATGTACATATCAGTGACGTCGGTTGATCAATTCAAATAATTCAGTGATCGTGTGTAAGGTAATAAGTAGTTGGTGGTTTGTGTAAAAAAACAAGACAGATATGTTATAATATATGTCCAGAATAAGGGGAAGGTACTTACACCTCGCGATATCGGCGATGGCATGCACGGATCTGAACGAGAAAAAATTAACAGTAAACATAAAGAAGTAAAAAGAGATAGTTTCAATTTAAAAAAGGCTATTTAATTTTTGTCTATAGAAAAGAGAAAGTATAACAAGTAATTCGTATATGACAATTATGGGATGTAATAAATTTCCTAAAGACTCAAGTTTTGAGTAAAAAATAAACATAGTGATCGGGGATGTACACAATGAAAATGTGGAAGTATGTACGTAATGAGAGTTTTTTGCATTTTACGATCTTTGTAAATCAATGCGCTAACCTAAATTATTAATTGGATCATTCTCAAATGCAAAAAATTTTCATATTCATTAGCACGAGAATACAATAAGATGTAAATAGGCGCGGAAAAATATAGTTATTTATTTTTAGTTCCATGCTGAAACTGGCATTGAAAAGTAGTCAACAGATACGAACAAGTAGTAAAAAACAAAAATAATAATCACTATTTGAAAATAAAAGACCGTTTCTACTAAAATGATAAACACTTATACCTACTAAGTATAAAATCTAGCAGATATTTTCATTTCAAAAAATATTGATCATATAAGAATTAGTAAATAGAAAAAAAGAGTAAATAAAATGAAAAAAACAAAATTTACAAACTAGGACAGATGAAATGTAAAACATAATACTTCAAGAAATGGAAATCCGTAGCAATCGATGGCTGCAATGGCGTCATCTGCCTTATAATTAATTAGTTTCTATCCTCGCACTCTTTCTCATTTTCTCGACTTCGTGTGCATAGCAAAATGATACATCGAATCGCATTTAAAACTCGTCGAAGTGCATAACAAATTGGAAGACGTCGATTCGCAGTTATGAACTCCAATGTACCGAGCGTATACTTATCGTCTGTGAGATTTTTTTCAACTTATTTCCTTTTCAATTCGTTATATAAAATTTAATAATTTAAAAATGAGAAAAAAATCACCTAAGTTTTGGTGTGCAACAAAAGTAAACGTCACCTATCGTGCAGGTGCTCCGGTATGTAATAAAGAGTGTGCCGTAATTGAGGCGCCGATATTATTCGTAGACGCGATCTTGACCGATTGAACCAGAAACGTAGTCTTGATGGTAATCTCCGTCTTAACGAATAATTTCTAAGTTCCAATGAATTATAAAATTAATTTTATATAATTTATATCATTGAAAAATATTTAAAAATTAACACGGTGATTTATCATTTTCATAATTAAAAAATCGTTGTGTACCCTCTTTGCACACAAAATTCACCATCGCTTCGACAGAACGATCTCGTTATTAAAGCCATGCATTGCACCATTACAACATTAATAAAAAAAGGACTTATTAAAGACAAAAACCCAGTAAAATTAGACAGATATGTCACATTAAAAAAAAAAGATAAAATACATAATATTACGATTGAATGTAGATTAACATAACCTTGTATCATGCAATAAACAGAAAACACCCATAAACGAAATGTTTCGTAGCAATGATCTCATCGATTACCGTAATAGCGATTACTTGTTCAAGTTTCATCTTTTAACTCATAAAAAAACTCTTTAAACTCTTTAAGCCCATAACCCTCTATTAAATATGAATTTTGTAATGAATAAGGCAAAGCCCCAAAAACCAATTACCGCGGCCCTTTATTGAATAAATAAATTTAAATATAATAATAAAAAATTTATGAAGCGACTGATGCGATAAAGGATAATGAATTGACTTACGAGCTCCTGTAGTCTTGGGTATGGAATATATCTCCTGGATCCGATTTACGAATTTCTTGCTCGCGCGCTGCCTCAGTCAGCGATTTCCATATCGTATTTTTTATCCTAAGATTCAACCAAACGTAAGTTGATTTGCTTAAGATGGAATAATAATGGAATATTTCTTAATTAAAAATACTTACGCTTTGAATGTAACGTCGATTAAAAGAACAGCTGCTGGAATTAGTACTAGACCTAACCAGAACACTGGCGATGAGAATAACATACGATCATTTCCAAGCATCACTGCACCGACGTTCAAAACAGGCCAGAAGTTGCTAAAAATTTATTGCTCAATTAAAGTGCTGTTTTAAGATTATGAATAAATGACATCGTAACTTTTTCTTACCTATAGATAAGAATAAACAGGAACCATAATGTTATCGAACCCCAAATGGCCAAGTGCGTAACCCATGTCCAGGAATTTGTTATAAGTCCAGCTTTTCCGCACACTGTTACGACTACGTACTACATAAAATCAAATGCATCGTTCATTTAACAAAATTGTCACATTATCTTTGACAGTCAAGTTTATGTAATACTTACAGTATAAACAATATTTCCTAAAACAAGATAACCACCGTCTCGTCCGTTGCTCCAGATTACATCCTGTTCGAGCGCGAACAAAGACAACCAATAAAGCAAGGCCGAATGGAGTAACGCGTTAAATATCCAAACCCAGAAAACTTTTATATTAAATGACGATTCGACGGCATTTTTTGAAGCGTATAAACTAGGATGTGCTAAATGCGTATCGGCTGAGCAGACTTTGTCGAACAGACCAATGGCCAAGGGTGGCGCTGCCGTAAATAACTGTTGAAAGGAAATAAAAGATCAATTTTTATCACAATTAAATGTACCGTATTAGTAAGAAGGATACCTACCACATTGTACAAACCAATGGACCAACGCTCAAACAAAATTTGTCCAGACCAGCCGGAGTACATGGCGAACCACAGCTCGATCACGTACAGGCAGATATTCTTATAAAACGAATACAAAATCAGCTTACACATACGACTGTAATTCCAGCTGCCGTGAACGAACAGTAGTCTTTTAAGAAATCGAAATTGGGCGATCGAGTAGTCCGAGGCGCAGGCGGCTTGTAGTCCCTCGACGCCCGATATACCGACGCCGATGTGGGCTTTCTGTATCATGGCCACATCGTTGGCGCCGTCGCCGATTGCCAGCGTGACGGCGTTGCTGTTGCTCGTCACGAGATCGACGACCTCGGCTTTCTGCATGGGAGAAACTCGACAACAGATGACGGCTTTGCAAGACATACAGAGATCGAGAAAGTCGCGGCGCAGATCGCAGCTAAGAGCGTATTTAAGGCTGTTGCCGTCGATCACGAGCCCAACATCGTTTTGACTGCGTAAATCTTGTCCGAAATCCACACAGTGCTGCATAATTACTTCTCGAGTTTTCTGAAATGAAAAGAAGTTATTATTTTATTTTATTACAGAAAAGTGTTCATCATTCATGATTCGAGGTGTCAATGCAGTCTTACATCTAACGAGCCTTCGTTAACAACGATCAGAGGCATAGTTTGAGTTATCAGTCTGCAAGAGTAGCCTATATTTATGGCGGTTTCCTGCTTGTCCCCAGTCAGTACCCAAACATTAATGTCAGCCTGTATGAGCGCTTCGATCGTCTCGGGCACTTGGTCCTGCAATTGATCCTCGATCGCCGTAGCACCCAGCAGCGTCAATTGCGTCTCTATGAGATTGGCAGCCTCTTCCAAATGCTTCTCCTTGTCGGTCAAGTTGGTTGCCGCCTTTTGATAGATCTCCTTCCACCACTCGTATTTGCTCTCGGGCACGTCGGCCGAGGCGAAGCATAATGTACGAAGTCCCTCGCTGGCGAACGACTCGAGATGCTGCAGGGTTACCTCGCGGAAATCGTCGCTGATCGACGTGACCGAGGTGATGTCCTCGTTGTCGGGACGACTCGCCAAACGCTCGTATATCACAGAATCGGCTCCTTTGCAGAATATCTTGATCTTGCCGCTGGGCGTGCGCACCACGATGGACATGCGTTTACGCAGCGATGTGAACTCGATGACGTTGAGGACCTCGTAGCGCTCGCGCTCACCCAGAGCCTCGATTTCCACAAAGTTCGGCGTTCTTGTATCAAATACGTAGCCGAATTTCTTGGCACCATCGACGAGGGCTCGTTCGTCCGGTGACGCCGCGTGGTAGATTATATTTCCGTCCTCGAGCTTCTCCGGTATGACGGTATGGCACACAGACAGCATCACCATAAACTCGTTCAGTATCTCAGAATTTTGAATCTTACGCACGTTGGAGGTATTCTTCGCTCGTCCTTGCAGTATATCTTGCACTAATTCGCAATCGTACTCGGGTCCGGTTGCCGACGTACCGTTGGCCAAGGTCGGTGCGGGTAAGCTAAACGTAATAAAATAACGTAATAATTTCACGCATTCTCTCACCGACTTCCGAGCGAGAAAGACACTTACTCGTAGAGTTTTCCAGCGATCGAGCATCGCTTGTACTCCATGACGTTGCGCGTCAAGGTACCGGTTTTGTCGGTGAATATGTAGCTGACCATGCCGAGCTCCTCATTGAGATTGCTCGTGCGAGCCATGGCAGGTGTGTCAGTCTCGGCGTGATACATCTCCACGTCCATGTTGATGAAGCTCGCTTGGAAGAAGCGCACCACTTCGAGGGTCACTTGGAGAGAGATGGGTATGAGATTGTTGAACAAAATCATGAACGTCAGGAGATTGAAGGCGAAGTTTTTCGTTTTTGCCTCTGTAAAATATCGAAAATTACATACAATTAATACTCTCCTCAAGATAAGAAAGATGAAAACTGAATGATATATTGTGTACACCTACCATACACGCCAAGATACCAGAGTCCTTTGTGGTCATTGATCCAAACAATATTGAGAATAGCTGACAAAAGACAGAGCAGCATGAGAATGAAAAACAACATGAGAATTTGAGTATTGATCAGACGATCGAGGGTCGAGCGTTTCAGGGGTGCGCCAGTTGTGTTATTCTGCATGAGTTTCGTGTCGTGGCCCGTGTAGATCACCACGCCAAATACCCATCGGGTGTTGCGCAACATGGCTCCGCGGAGCAACAGCTGATCCGGACCCAACGCTACGCTCCTGAAGAGAGACAACAGTTCAATGAGGATGATGCTTTTTGTAATGCAAAATGAATGAGCATCGTCGAAAGAAACTCACGGTTTGTTGGTCTCGCGCAGTATGCCATTGAACTCGTAGAGGTGTCGATTCGGCGCCTCGCACTGTATGTTGGCGCGGAAGCTCATGAGCTCCGAGGTGTCGAGCAGGCTCGTCGTCTCCGGATGCGCCTGGCGTATCTTCAGATTCGTCTCGCCGTCGAGATTGGCCGTCTCGATGAACGACATGGAGTTGGGCTCGGACGACGAGAGGAGGATGAGATCGGCCGGGAAGAACGTGTTGTTGTGCACCTTGACGACGTCGCCGACAGCCACGTTCTTCCACTTGATCCATTGCCAGGCGCCGTCGCGCAGCACCTCCACCTCGCGCATGTTGATCTCGTCGTCGGCTCGATGTCGCTTCTGCAAGTAAAGCCGAAAAGTTATAAAGGAAAAAACTTTACGAGAAAAGAGAAAAGATCCTAGAGACACTTACAAAGTCTTCGATGAATTCTTTGATAGCTGACACACTGAGGATGAATATGAGCGGAACGAGTGTTGTGAATCGACCAGTTGGAGAAACGTCAGGTATTTGCTGTAAAATGAACGGTTCCGTTTAATTTATGTAATGTCAAAATTGAATGCGGAAAGAAGTCGCTCATTGTTTCTCACCTGCATCAGAGCAATGAAGAGGAAGAAACAATTACTGTAGCGACGAAACTGCTCGAACAGAAAGGACGGTATGAAGGTGAGCAGTGAGTACTTGGCCGTCGATATGTGATTGTTGCGATAGGTGGCCGGCTGGGTCGGGGCATTGACGAAGACCACGCGCTCGTCCTGGTCGCCACCTCCGCCGCCGCCACCGGCACCGCCCGAACCCTCGGCCGAACCGGCTTGCGAGCCCGTGCTGCCGTTGTCGCCAGCCGCATTTCGCGTCGCTCGTCCGGTTCCTGCAAAATAATGAAAAAAAAATACGGGTTGAGATGAGCATTCGATCACGTAGTTTCGTTGACGGAATTCGCTTGTCCATCGTCCCGGACACGTGTTTAGTATCAGGCAAGCTGCTTCGTTGTTCATCGGCTGACCTAACTGAGACTTTCTCTACTGGAAGTGATATTTCAAATAAAAAAAGAGAAAAAGTATCAATCGCAGCGAGGAAGAGGAGGACGAAAAAATCGTAAATCGATAAGTAATAGCGTAATCCTCGATGACAACGTATGGTACACCTACATAATATACATAGATGCCAGTTTCAACGGATAGAAACGAGCATTTACGGCAGTAAAAATCGGAAAGGAGAAGGGAAACTTACTGCGCCGCGAATAGATGTAGACGTCGGCGCGCGCCCGTAACGTGCTCATCCATCTGGCTAACTTCGTCCCTGAGAATTCCATTACCTCGGGCGCTGCTTGATTCTCTTTTTTTCACCCTCCTTACTCGCTGTGAACGAGCTTTTTTTCACGATGAGCTCGTGGATTGATTCCACTCGTTATTTTGTTGTTGTTATTGTTTCGGTTGCTGTTTTTCCCGTTGTTTCGTGCAGTTCACTGATCGATCGCCGATGATTGCAATTCGTCGTCGCATGTCTTGCGATGCGCTTCATTTGATGCGCTCATGTGTACTGCACTTTCTTTAATTTGCTTTTTTTTTCTTTCTCTCTCTTTCGCTCTGGTAGTTACTTATGCGACGCAGCATTAATTCATGTTACAACTGTTGGAGGAAAATTGGAATTTTATTTAATTTTGGGCTTGAATTGGCTGCCACCGCGAATCATTTGATTCAGGCACTACTTATTGATTCAAATTTGGCTGCACATCGTTTGGCGATATTTTTCATTAGTTTTCAAATTTTAGGGAATAATAAAATAAAAACTAAGAAATGACTTTTTTCCATCAAGTGATTGACAAGATACGAAAAGGTTTGTATACGCTCGCGCACGCAAGGGCTAACAAATCAATTTATTCAATATTTGGGTGTCAGTGCATGTTATTAAAAAAGCCTCATATTGTGTTAGATTAATAGAAAAATACTTTTTTGAATCGAAATACGTTGTAACTTTTTAAAATCATTAGATTTGCATAATTATCGATAAAAAAAACGAGTAAATCTAGTAACGAGCTTATCAATAATAATATGAGAAAAAATAATTTGATTTCAAAGAAATTACTACGCGTTCAACGTAAAATAACATTTTCAGTCGAGTTATAAAACCGATGACAGATGCAAATCGCTAAAGCTCCCAGATTCAAATTGTAGGTATGAGCGAGAAAATAAACCTCATTACATTCGCAGAGGTTTTATTTCCAACTTTTTTCCGTGTTATTTCATGTCCATGTGATCGTATCTCTGAACAGCTCAGGTATACTGAGGAGAAAATATCGCGGTTAATTTTTTTCAATTTCAGCGAGAATTTATGGAAAAAAGAAGTGTTTGTATATACATCGTATGTGCGGGGAATTTCAAGGCTTAATGCTCTAATACGGATATTTGAAAAGCCGAGCGAAACATTTACGAGAAAATTTTCACGACTAAAGCATTAACGTACTTTTAATGAGTGCATCTTGCTTCCACCTAATGGGTAAAGTTGATAACGTCCATGCATACGCGTATAGAATGTACTTTTTTTTACAGAAAAAAAAAATTAGAATGAAATAACCATTTTTTTAGAGAAAAAGTTATATACGCTCCTTAAATTTATCATAAAATTGTTAATGATCTGATTTCAAAGATTAAAATTAATAATATACGGCGATCTAATCATCAAAATACACACCCACGATCACGTTAAGTCATCGTTATGAAATGACATAATTTCAACATGACGCATCGGTGCGCATGAAAACATTCACACACACACACATACAAACTTTAATACCCTGTACACAAAACTATACTGCGAAGGTAAATAATTAATCCAAGCACTGATACGAAAAAAACCTACACAACGGCAGAGTTGAGATGGTATTTTATATGCTGACACATGGCAGGCAACTGTTGAGCTAGCAGCTGCTATAGCCTGGCTATATCGCGAAGCTTACACCACGCATACGCGGCTTTTCCTCTCTCGCTCTCTCTCTCCTATACTCTCTTTTTATATGTATGTATGCAGGCTTTTCACCATTGTGTAAGTTGCGCTGTGCACAGGTAGCAGCGTACACACACACACACACACACACACACATACACATACATACCCATAGTGCAAAGAGCGAACAATCGATAACTTTACGAGCGCGCGGCGACGCGCAAACTGGCGGCAGCTATCCTGCCAGCAAGTACAATAAAATACGTGCATCATTGTTGTAGAGTCGTGCAGATGGTTTTGCAGATGGTATTGTTTAAATAAAAATAAAATGTGCGCATCGTCAACTCGAATCGAAAACAATTTTGAATGGATAAATCCGTCGGTGTACGCGAGCTCGCAAAAATCGCATACAAACAGCTGTCAAAAATTGATAGGATAAAACGAAACGAGTGAACGAGGTTTTTTTTCCAAAAATGTTTCGCGCTGGTCTCTTTGCGTCACAAGGTAAGATGCACTTGGAAGCGCGCGAGTGTAAAACTAGCCGAGAAAGAAGCCATAAATAAGTCCCTTTGGAGGTTTTGCGCTTACAATAACGACGGGGATTTAACAACCCCCGTATCCTGTATTCGCAACACGTTGCTGGCCTCACCACACCCCAACTGCATACGCGATGTTGTTGGTTTTCTGCGTCTCGCTCGTGTGCAAATGCATCCCTTTTATTCTCGCGAACTTTACGCATGAATGATTCAATTTTAGAAATGCGTGGAATTTTGTGTATCTCGAGCACTCCGACGTGGAAAAAAAGGAGAAATAATTAAAAACCGAAAACACTGGCCGAGCGATAAGCTACGTACGATAAAAGCACATTAGTACGTCCGCTTTTATACGGCATTAATTTAACCTGGGAGAGATGCGTCATCGAGCTTATAAGGAGCTTTATGTACGGTACAAGCGAAACAAAACACGCACACGCGTAAATGTTATAACATTTACTTGAGCTGCATCGCGCGCATAAATATTGTATGGCCCCCGTTTTTAATGGAAAAAGCTCGACAGAGCTCGATTGCATTTTATATCGTCCGTGCAAGACTATCAGCCCGTGACTGTGAATGCCTGCATTGTAATGATATACGAATTACCGAGTCAAACGGAGCCGCGTCAGCGTAAGTAAGCAATCTAGCTTCGCGTCGAGTTACTTCGTTTCGCCTCTTTTTTTTCGCTCGCGTTTGCACGTAAAAACGAACGCGTTCGTAACTTATTCATGTTTTCTAAATAAAATTTAGTGGGCCGAGTTTAACGTCGATCGTAATAGCGAATTCTTACGTAGACCAGACCGATACCTATCTGGAGAGATAGCTCGACGACGAATCGATAGGTTCTCTTTAGCGATATAATTACAAGGCGAAATCAGCCAAATTGATAGGTGACAGCCTTTGAAATCGCTTCTCCGTACAACTTCATAACAGCTCCCCTCCCGTGCACGCACACGCACTCGTTGACACAAATTATATACGCACATGCACTGCACACACGACGCGTACAACTATCAATTAAAAGTCTACTAGTTTTGTGTTACGCTGCGAAACTTAACCTAAAATCAAAATACGACGGCGGCATTGGGTATACATACGAGATACATGCACTCACACGCGGGTATAAAAATGGTCGATATCGTCTGCTACTCGACGACGATATTGACATTCAAAACTGCGACTTTCATTGTAACGGGTATAATCAGATATAACGGAACCAAACGATTGTTGCAGCCACTTTGAATCGGAGTTGCAGAGAAATTTTGAGTGTTTACGTACGCTATGCTTGTTCGAGGTAAAACATCGAGTATGTTTTACAGCGAGGGGGAACTATATCGTGTACGACAGAGCGGCGGGTCGGATTTAGCGATGATACACCCAACTATATGTAGTTTATTTACACTACACTATATAATACACTGCTAGCACTGCTTATTACTAACTGCTACACTTTGTGTACAAGGCGGCAGGTCGATATTTCGGCTCGCTGCTACGTACATTATATTCCAGCGTATCGCGCCGATAGATAAACGTGGACGCGTCGGAGACAACTGGCACGACTGCACATCAGCTCGGACGGGCTGTATATACTACTATTATACTATAGCAAGCTAACGCGCGGCTCGCGGCGCAACGTCATAAATATATATATCTAAGTGGTATATGTACGAGCGAGCCGCCGTGTCGCTACTGCATATATAGAGTAGCCGCGCACCGATGTAAAATGCCGTGTGAGTCGAGGGAAATATGGATTTTGTGTGTTACCTGCGTGCGGATTAGTGTCGAGTTGGTGGTTTCTCCGCTCGTTTTTTTATTAACGCTCGAATGAACCCTCGGCACGGCGAATACGTAGTTAGCGGTTTTTACGTCTTTTAATATTAGTACTGAGCAATTACGATTGTGGCTATGGAAAATTCCAATTGTTATCGAGTTAGATTTTGAGCACTCAAACTCATTTATAATGGTGTATAATTTTTAATCATTCTTAATTATTGCAATTAGGGAGTGAATAACATTAACTTTTGTAATCAGCTACTTTTTAAAATTACTGACTTTTATTTCAATCTCAATTGATAGTTCGCCAAAAAATTTCATAGAACATTTTTTTTTTATAAATAAATAATTTTATAATAAAAAAAATGTAAATACATTATATTAAAAATAATTTTCATTTATCGATCGTTCATAATATCAGATTTAAAACAACAAAAAGTTTGTCAGAAGTGGGATTCGAACCCACGCCCTCAGAGAGGACCAGAACGCCCAACACTCGACATAGAAGTAGAGAAGATATGAAATCTTGAGTCTGGCGCCTTAGACCGCTCGGCCATCCTGACACTTGATAGCTCTGGCAAAATAGTGAATCGTACTCCAAATAAAATTTTTTTGTAGACATTTTCCCACGTTATCAAAATTTTTCATTTCTAACGTTTTTATAAAATATTAATTCAACGAAATTATAATTGAATGTTTTTTATAAAAAAATTACCGGCATATTTTTCGAACAAAAAAGTTTGTTTATCGTAGATAAATATTTTAAATACTGTTCAATCAACTTTTTTTTTTTTTTTAAAAAGATTTCATGCTTTTTCTGCGAGAATGCATTCTTAAAACGTTTATAGTTGATTGGACAAAATAAGTAAACTTTTTACTGCCACTTTGAACGAATAATTGTGAAACCTTGTCGAGATCATAAAATAATAAAGTCAATTATTCAATGCACGAAGAAACAAGCCTAGGTCAACTTAGCCTTAATGGTCTACAAATTTCTACCCAATGTTCATGAATAAGTAGAATTTCTCGCAGTTTCAACTCGTTAACTAGTTGGACGTGATGTTATTTTTTTTTTACTGCTCGATGCACACAGTATATACGGAACGAAAAAAAATGTCAGTTCGCTACTTTTTCAACGGCAGATATCGACCGGAGCGCCGCGACTCGAATCGTAACCCGTAAAGTGCTGCACCCTATACAGAAGTGTGGCATTGGCAGCAACCCTGCGGGATATTCATTATAAAAGCGACTCGCAAGCACAAATAAACCCACGAGCGTCGCCAGACTATATCGTCTCCGCTCCACGTATATAATGCATCCAGATTTGTACAGTTGCAGTGCACATGTACACGAAAGAAAAGCGCACATGTGCGAGAGAGGCCAAGGCCGCACAGAGGAGGCACAAGCGATGTCTGATTCTCTATCTCTGTCTCTCTCTCTCGATTTTGTGAAATGAACTAGTTTCCGCTTCCTTATTCTATATCTTTTTCCGCTTGGATTGTTAGCCCGCGATAATTAATACGTAATGCGATCCGTAATACGAATGTAAGAAGAGTATAACCGCGATGCGATGTATACGAGGCAAACGTGTGGGAATATATGCCTCGATTATAGCCGAGAGCTTTTGGCAGCGAAGATGTTTTCACAGATAAATAATTGCCCTCTATGCTCGACGAAAATTAATGAAGTAAAATTTAGTACCCGCAGTTACTTCGTTCGTTATTTGCGCCGGTTGAACAACGCAATTTCTCTACATCGTACAAAACTTTTTGTACTTCTCAAGTACAACGTAGTAATCTCTTTACAAGCTCATCGCTGCATTCATAGACTCGTTGCGGTATATATGTAGCATAACAATCTCGATTTACGTGTTCTAGCGCATAACTCATCTCTCTTGCAGCTCGATCATAAATGTCAAAATACCTACAGAGAGCTGTAACATAGCGGTGTTTGTGTGAAATTTACCCCTTCAAGTATCAATTGAAATGTTATACAATTTCACATTCGATAACCTGCACATTTACATTCTATTACATTCTAGCCAAACGTGTTATAGTACGAATTGAAGGTCGACCATTTGACGTTGACGTTGGCAATTAAATTTTAAATGGAAAAGAAAGATCAAGACAATTTACAAAGTAACAATAGAAATGGTATTTAACCACTACTTTGTATAAATGATCGATACCGAGCAAGTCATATATAACTTTCACATCAAACAGATGGAATATGATTCCACACAAACAAACGAAATATTAACGATGACGAATCGTTTTAAGAATAATTACTTTGAACATTTATTCTCAATCGCGCCCCTTATTTTCTTTTTAGATCTAAAAAAGACAGTTTGCGAATTTAATATTGAAAGCGGACCGGTAAAAAAAATGTCAAAGCTTTGATGGCTCCCCAGCGACTCGCTGCTCCACGCCGACGATTAAAAGCGTAAATATTATCCTTTTATTTTATACGCGTGCGGGAGTTTATGAAAAAGCAAGTGCAAACACCACCTAAAAAGTAATAAAATAAAAGCGAGCCTGCTGCGACGCTTGGTTTACTTGGGAGGAAGTATCAAACAGAGGTGCAATTCGAGGAAAGAGAGAATGGAAGGAGGCGATAGTGGTCGCATGTATTTTTTATTATGGAATAGGCTTTTTTTTTATCTACGTTCTTACAACGTGACTCTATTGTCGCCAGCAAAACGAGGTTAATGGTTACATAGAACCGAGTAAATAAATTATAAAATAATATTGTAAGTTTAAGAGATTAATAGAGACACACAATTTATATGCACATTTAGTGTAAACGCTTGAAAATTCAATAAATGGTAAGTTAGTTACTCAAACAAATTTTAATCTAAAAAACATATAATCTTAAAAACATTATTTATTGTGCTGCAAGGACTAACATCTTAGGCTGTTTTAATGTGAGACTTTTTATATGCTGATAAAATGCCTTTGATACTTGATGCTGTGCTGCACTGGTCAACATACTCAGCGAATTGGATTCAATTTCAAGCAAAGCTTGCAACTTTTATTGAAGTTATATCGTGAAATAAAAGATAAAAACTGTAAACGCAACTGCAAAACCCACTGCACATAAATTTCAAAGGGCAAATGCGTGTTTAATCCTTTATTTTACGGAACAATTTCGAAACATCACGAACCGGACAATTAACAAGCTGTTTGTATTAAATCTCGATAATATTCCCTTTGGCTCTGACTGTCATAAATAAGGTATTAATCGATCGATATTTTAACAATGTTTGTGCTAATGAACAGTCAATTTAGGATTTTTTGTAAATACTAAAGAAGTACATTAAATTTGAGTTATCGATAATATTCGACTGGACTAGATATAACACGGTAACTAGTGGTGTATTCAGTGGAGCTTTAATGACTCGAGGCGTGCATAAATTTATAAATCATCGTTTCCTGGAGACAGGAGGTCACTGTGTAACCAGGTGAGGCCTACACTGTGACTCTTGCTGTGCCAGCTATAGCAGCGTCCACACAGCGTGATATGAGCGACGAACGTACGATACGAACACATCAAGGCGATAAAGGGCACACAACACAGCGCACGATACTGCAGATTTAGGTCGTTGGGCACGGGGACAATTTTCTTCAACTCTTATATACTATGTGTTATATAGGTACGTGGATAGCTTGAAAATTGAATTCCTTGCTTCGTGTAATGCCAAAGGTAATTAAGATCTATAGATAAATTGCATGTACCTTGCGATACAATCGTTACGCGTTCGAACGCGCTTTTGCGGGTATGATTCGAGCGTGACTTGATTAAAATTCATTAAAATGACAAATGTCACATTACTATAAAGTAATAAATCAATCAATTTTAATGAAGCAACAATACATTTATAATTGAAACCCTTATTTTACAATACGAACTTTAATTGCTTAGTTTTAGAGTACAAAATGACTTATTTTGTTATAAAAATGACACAATGTCAATTTTATAATGGACAGTGGTCACTTTTCAGCGCTCATGAAACCCACTTAAATACTACATACCCTATTTAACTCATTACTTTTTTTACGCTTTCTCGATAAGAAGATTGTAATTTACGAAGAGAACCGATAATGCTGTAACAACATGAATTAATTCCAATAATAGGCGAACTTCATGCTTGATCAACTCTACCTATTCGATAATATAATCGAGAATAAATAATGTGAATTCATAAACGAAGGATAATTAAAATCGCAATTTCAATGTAAAAGTTATCGTAAAAAAATAAAAGAATGTATATCCTACCGGAAAATCTGGTCCTCGGCGATCTGGCGGTTTCCTGCAGTTCGATGTGCTGCTGACGAGCCGAGCCGAGCCTCAGATTTATGCTGTCGACGTTGTCGATGGCCCCGAGATCGATGGGACTACCGAGGATGTAAGGGCCGCCGTCCTGGGCCGTATCACCTGTGCCAGCGCCACCACCACCACCGCCGCCGCCGCCGTCTTCTCGCAGGGCAGACGGGCCGCCTCGTTCGCCCAGTGGCTGTAGCGTGGCCTCGTCCATGTGCGGTATCGAGGACAGATCCGACGGTGTGAACGGCCGCAACGGCGGCAGCGAGTCGTTGTTGCCGCTGCCGCCGCCACTTCCACCTTTTTTGCTTTTTTGTTGTTCCCCATGTTTGTTGTTGCCGCTTTTTCCACCGCCCCGTAACGACGAAGGCATCTCCGGTGCTGGTGCCTAAAAATTGATTTAATACAGCGTTACTTTTACGATGCACTTAATAACAACGGTCGGCAGAAAAATTGCGTCGTAAGCGCCGCCGCGGTTGCGTGCAGTGATCTCGCGCGCCGGGTAACACGAGAAGCCGCGAGGATATAGCGTTTCATATTTGCCAGCTTGCTCGAAAGTTTATTTTCGCGAGTTTATACAGAGTGTGTGTGTGTGTGTGTGTGTGTGTACGCGTAAAATTTCTGTTGTTCTGCGGCGAAATAAAAAGTAGCAATTAATGCGCCAGAGATTATAATAAGTATAATCCCATTGTTGTTTCTTGTATTGCGATTTAATTGAGCTTTCATAATTTAAAGCTGGATTCCGGATTATTTGTACACAATGTGTATGTTTCTTTAATACGTGTATTACAGTTGCGTACTAGACTCGATTATTTCTCTTCTGACTTTGGACAGTCGGGGCAAAATTGATTGTTATTAGTACGCTAATGGCTTAATGAAACTAGGTCGCTTATGCATAAGTTAATCTTGCGTAAGGTGTAGAATCCGTGCTTTGAATTTGTAGCCGTGCAGCAGAGAGACACGGATTCGGTTTTTTAGCGAGAATATTTTTTCATCGTCGAAAATTGTATCCTATAAATAATAAAAAACTATTTTCGTATTTTTTTCAACCAATCTCAAATAAATTTCCCTATTTTATTTTGCGGAATCGATTCAATAAAAATAAACGTCAGGGGAAAAAGCGAAAGAAAAACAAAATACCACTGGAAATCGAGGCGCGCAACAAAGTTTCCGATAATTTTACGAAACTCGATAATTCTATTGAAGTTTTTTTTCCTACGTAACTGATTACCTCTGATGGACTGGTAAAACTTCGAGTTACAATCCTATATACCCATGCAGTCCGGTATAGCGCACAAAAAACACATACTCCACTGGAAAAAAAGAGAGAAAAAAGCCTAGTCAAACGAAGCGTGTGTGTGTGTGCTTCGAGCAGCTGTAACGTACACATGCACTCGCTCCAACACACGTTATACACATGACACGTAGACAAGTGTGCAGCATCACCTAATTAGGACGAATATGCGCGCGCGTCTACTCGTTCGCTCGCTCGAGAGCGAATCTGCCTGCAGTTCTCTTGTCGCACCTCCGCGTGAAACGATTCGAAAACGAGGCTAGCGTGTATACGAAGCACGGCCAGATACTCTCTGTGTGCGCCGAGTGTGTGCCTGTAACGATAGCGTACACTCGCGAATGTACTGCACTCTGGCAAAAGTAAGTAAAAAATGGCCTGTACGCCGGTGTACAGACGCGAAGCGACTAACGCGGACAGGCCTCGATTACTCATTTTCTCAAGAGAATTAGCTTTTTTTTTTATCCTTTGTTTTTCTTCATATTCTCCGGTGGATATATCTTTTACGGACAATCCCCGACGGTGTGCGTCACGTTGTATTATTTTACCGATAACGCGCGGCTGTATAACAATTCACCTGTTGTCACGTCATTGTAGGATCGAACCAAAATCGATGTTATAGAAGATTTCTCTGAATAATTATTACGCATCGCTGATATACTTGAAAATAAGTCGAGATTTTCTCAAGAATAATGCAGAAAAAAATTTTTAATAGCCTTAAGCCAAAACTTCGTGAAGTTTTACGCGTTTTGCTCGAGACGTATTTCTATATGTATATGTTTTAGCACTGACTCTGATTCTGAGTTCAAGTCGAGTTGAACTTTATATTGGCGCGAATTGTGCCGTGCCGCTGTTTCGTCGCCTTAATGGTATTGAACCGTTTTTCTTCATTTCCGTTCCGTTAGATCTTGCTTGCGTCAAACTTTGATAAATTCGAAGTAAATTTTAAAGTGGGAATTTTCTTTTTTTTTTCGATCCAAAGAACATGATATGTTTAAAATGACGTCAAAAGCAAAAATTATTTCTGGCTAGGTAGGATCAATTAAATTAATTAAATTTCAAGATTGTCTGAACGATTGACGATTTCTAATCCCTTTGTAGTGGTCTCGGTGTCTCGTTTATACAATCAATTCGAAGCTTCAATCGAGAGGAGGCGCTTACCCTTGTTTCATCGAACGTCCCATAATTGCCAACTTTAGAATTTATCATGTTCGAACACACTGGCGGAGCGGCTGATAATGACAATTAATCACTGGATCGCGTGCCAATCCGGAAGCAGAATCGCGAGCACAGAAGAACAATTCAACATGATTCACACTGTCACGATTGTCCACGCACACGCAGAAAGGACAGATTCGTTGTACGCGCGCAGCACTCACACCCACGAGTCTGTCGTTTCGCGGATCAACTGAGAGGCCGGCTGAACAACGCGAAAAAGCTAAGCCTCGCTAGATGTGTGTACATAAGCTATCTCTGTATATGTATAAAATAAGCCAACCAACTGTAAGAAGACCACGCATACTAGCAGCGACAGCAGCAGCGACAGCCAGCGAGCCGCTCAACGCTCACACGAAGATAGATAAGTCGAAGATAAGTGTCGAATGTATCATAAGTCGTGTGTGTATTGAAGCACACGAGTAATTCGATATATTGTATGCTGCGACGAGTATAATGTGGAGCAGACTGCTCGCCTGATGCAATTTTAGAAAGTTAGAAAGATGATCGATTTTGCGACGAGCTTTCGATTTTCGCGGTTTTCGTAGCGGTCATAGGACTCGGCGCTGTCTGTTCACGCTGCAGTTCACTTGATCGATGTATGCATGTGTAAAATGCGTTCGCGATCGCTACACGTGCTCGGAAAAATTGTACGGTTAGGTATTGAATTTTAGCTCGAAACAAAAGCATGCGTGGAATTTTATATATTTCGCAAAAGTGATAAAAATCTTTGATCATTTTAAAAAAATTAACGTTCAATCATTCACGAGGTTTTGAAAGAAAGCAGCAACGATTGAGGTAAAAAATTAATGAAATTCAGGGTCGATTGAATAGTTTGTGCACCTACATAGTTATCGGTATCGATAATCAAAAACAAATCACTGCTATGCTAGCTACAACTAATAGCGAATATAATTGAAATTTTTTTAAACTTTGATTTGAGCAGATAAAGTTTACGGAGCGATCAAGCATGAACGAGGAAACTGCCAGTAATTGTTGAAATGAATTGAGGTAAAAAATGGCAAAAATGTGCTTTGGTGAAAACAATTTCGTTTGAATCTTTTAGCTTGTCAATACTTTGCGTGGGCAGCTCATAATTAAACGTACTCTCGCTTATGCACGAACGAATTTTTAATATAGTTGTACTTGATACATTTTTCCACACTCATTTCGGTTTTTTAATTAACTAATATTTGTACTCGTGTACGTACTGCGTAAATTTTACTCATTTCGAATGGAACTGTAATGAAAAGTCACCGAGTACTTTTCGCAAATTTCTTCCACTTGTTTATTCTTCGGTGTAATATCAAAAATACAGCAAAAATATTGCGTCGCGCGTTCCAACGGACCAAAATAAAATTCACATGTGCGTGTGCGTGTGCGTGTGCGGGTGGCACCCCGCGTCTAGTCGAAACAGAGAGCCGCGAAAGTTTCCAAGACGACTGACCGCGATTCTCTCGAGAAGCAGCGTATCGCACGATGCAAAACAAAACCAAGCCTCTGTGTCTGTGGCGGAAAAATTTTCAAGCCCGGTACGTAACGCGAGAAAAAAAAACAATTAATTGCACCGGATGAAAATCAATGCGAGATATTACTGCAAAGTATTACTGCATCGAGGCGGACGATTACGCATACGTATATAGGCAGGCATCAAAAGGCGGATGCTGTGCGCAGTGTATAAATGTGTACAATGCCAGCGTGCGGGCAGTCAATCGTTTTATATGGAGAAGCGCAGCAGCTTACGCGCGGCCGCTATGATGCTGATGCTGCACGACTGAGATAATTCGCATAACGAGCTGTAACGATGCATTGATACTCGTTCGCTGACACATATATGGCGCGCGTGTGTACACGTGTGCGGCAGTGCGTCGCGGCGTATGCGAGCTCGTGTCTGTGCGAGCCAGACGTACTCGGCATTGTTGACGGCATTTTCGCACTCGGCCAGTCGGGGACGCGCTGCACGAGCGTGATTTATCCGATTTATATACATACGGCTAATAAGAAAAGAAAATGTCGCGCAGTGGCAATAGTGTATATACACACAGCAGTAGGAGGAAAGTTTCCAAGTTTGCAAAAGTAGTGCCGTGTAATCGACATCGAAGTTAATTTTTTTCCAGCTATCCGCGACTACGAGCCTCGTCTATATGTAGAGGGAAAGAAATTCGAGGCTTTTGGAATTGCTGTAGTAAACTGCTATACGTATACTCTCGATTCTCAAAGTTTTCCAGCATTGGCAAGCTTTCAACTGTTTGGATTTTCGAGTTAGTTCCGCGCAGCCACGAGTTAGGAGCGCGCGGCTCGCGAAGCTTAACCGTTAAAGCACACACACGCGCACACACAGGCCTGGATCGACGACGTAGTATTTTTTACGATAGCCGCTCGCTTCTTTCTTCTTTCATTTTCTTTTTTTTTTTTCATGATAATCAATAATATCAATCTCGCATATTTCGTTTTAAAAATAAAACGATAAATAATAAACACACATACGGCCTATGCGCGGGTGCTCTATAATAACTAACTGGACTGGATATTCGCCTCGCGCGCCCAACATCTCGATTTATTGGAAATATTTTTTTCGCGCACTTTGTATTCGATAAATTGTTTTTTTTTTTTTTCAATTTTCGACGCACTCTACGCGTTGCTGTAAAATCGGTTCTGGGGTTGACTTCTGACACGCGCAAAGGATTCAAATGAGACAATTAATTGCGAGTATAGAGAGGACTTACAACATCGACGCGTATGAGGCGGCGAGGGGCCGTCTTTGCTCGCTTTGCACAGGTAGGATTCGTCGCACCGATCCTGATGCTGCAAGCCGCCGCGCGAGAGCCACGCGCGATAGTACGCCGCAGGACGATGCTAACCCGTTGACGATTCCATCGTCA